TATTTACAGGCACACTGTGCAGGCAGATGTTAGGTTTGGGCAGGTGTGATAGATGAAATTATTGCCATCAATTCTTCACCACCACCCCAAATTTATACTCTCTTCCACATGACTTTGCAGCCCCGTGCCTTGACTTTGGACTCAACCAAATGACTTGTTTTGGGCCGTGGGATGGTGGCAGACAAGGCACTAACAAGGATGTGAAATGGTTTGTGCAGTTAAGTGTGCCCTCTGGCATTTCTGTCATTGCTACAAAAAGACTTTCCCCCACTTGGCTACAGCCCCTTCAAGCTGAGTCTCAGAATTAGCTGCATGCAAAGTAGCCAAGAAAGGAGCCAAGTCTATGCACATCTGCAGCTTAAAGGAGACCCACTCAATCCAGCCCAACTTCGTTCAGCTGACTTCCAGCTACCACAGACTGAAGCAGAGCCACATCACCCGCAGATCCCAGAGAATAAATGAAGATTACTTTAAGCCTAAGACTAGGAGTGGTTTGTTACATAGCATTACTCTGATAATAGCTAACTGACATGGGGGATTCTCATGGGATGGTTGGTGTGTCCAAATCCAGGTGCTATTGCAACTGACAATAGGGTCCTGCCAGAACATTCATTGAAAAGTGACTGGATGTCCCCCGTGTTGGTAGTGTGGTATAACGGCCATGACTGTGGGCAGCAGAGTCATCGACATATCTGGCCCTGAATACTGATCCTCAAACTTATCACCTGTGTTACATTGGAACTAGGTGACATTGGGGACATTTCTTAACTTTTCAAATCACTGTTTTCTCACTTATATTAAAGAAAGAATTATAATAAAACTCACATCATGAGGTTAAGATTTAAAAGAGATATGTGTAAAGTGCAAGACAGATAGTAAAAGTCAACTACTTGGAAATCATTATTATTATTCCTCCTCTTTCTCTATGCCGAATCTCTCTGCATGTGCAACCTATTTTATAAAAAATGTTTTGGATGACTCAAGATAGATTAATCACACATATTAAAATATACAACTTTATATATTGCTGAGATAAAAATATATATTTATTTAAAAAGAAAATATGGTCATTTCTAATGTGAGTTGACTTGCCCCCTGTGTCCACACCCCAGACCCTGGCTTCCCTTCACATAGCCTCAGCACTTTGACACACACACACCCCTTCCTGTTTGCAGCAGCAGTACAATGGTAAGATGTTTTGGCCTTGGGCAGGGGCCTTTCCGGCCTGCTGCATGCCTCCACAAGTGAACTATAATTTCTGCTCTAGGTCCAGGATGTTGGCCTCAACTATGTCTGCCCAGCAGGTGAGGACAGCCAAGGTCATCATCATGTTCCTGATGGCCAGTGTCAGGCTTCTCTCCAACCTAAACAGGGACAAAGGAGCATTGGCACAGGCAGAATAATATAAGACGGGTACGAATAAACATACTAGGGGAGTGTACCATGCACAAAATAATTTATGAAACCACTTCTAAGGCTACCGTCTTATGACATTTCATTCAGAAAAAGTGCTAGGCCTTTAATTGGAAAAGAAAAGCTCTAGTTCTGGGGAAAAATATGAACCATGTTATTTTTCTTGGTGGGGTCTCTGTTAGGATGATTAAGTTTCGGAGAACTTAGGAGACTCTCTAGCAGTGCGTCTCAAACGCCATAAGGTGCATTAGAATCAGCTGAGGTTCAACAGACCAGAAAGCCTCTGACATGAAAGGTAAAGACAAAAAAAGATAAAAGAGCAACTTAAGGCAATCCGACACCATGCAACTGGAGAAAATAAATAAATAACGTGATATCCTCCAAGAAATCAAAGTTTTGCTTGCATAGAAGGTGAACAAGACGCTGTAAAAAAGGAATATTCAGAAAACAAATTAACCAAAAAACTCAGAAATGAAAAACTGTAACAGCAGAAATTTAAAACTCAGTGGAGTCAAGAATAAAGCTAAGGAAATCTTTCAGAAAAATAAAGCAAAAATGAGGAGGCAAGTTTTTTTAAAAAAAAGAGAGAAAAACATATTTTTTAAAAAGAGGACATTTACCCAAATGAGTTGAAAATTCATGTCTGCACAAGAACCTGCACGCAGATGTTTATAATAGTTTTATTCACAGTTGCCAAAACTTGGAAGCAACCAAGATGTCCTTCTGGAGGTGAATGGATAAATAAACCGTGGCACATCCAGACAGTGGAATATTATTCAGCACCAAAAAAAATGACCTATCAAGCCATAAAAAGACATGGAGGACACTTAAATGCATGTGACTCAGTGAAAGAAGCCAGTCTAAGGACAGGCTGCCTGTTGAGCCTGATACAGAAGCTTATTTGTACTTTATCTTAATGACTGCTATGATTTGAGTGCCCCTGCCAAAACTCACATTGAAATATTATTGACACTGATGATGTTGCGGGGGGGAGCTTTTAAGAGGTGATTAGGTCAGGGGAGCACCACTTTCCTGAATGGATAAAGCTGTTATTTGGGGAGTGAGTTGGTTCTCCTGAGAACCGGTTATTATAAAATTGACCTTGACTCACTCTTGTGGTCTCTTTTGCACACACCGGCTTGCCCTTCTGCTTTTTGTTCGTGTTATGACACAGAGCAACAGCCCTCACCAGACGCTGCCACCATGCCCTTAGACTTCCCAGCCTCCAGACTATGAGCCAAATAAACTTCTTTCTAAATTTCCCAGTCTTAGGTATTCTGCTATAGCAACAGAAAACAAATTAAGACAAGAACCAGGAAGTGATGAGCTCCCTGCTCTCCCATGTCCCCATTAAACTTTTCAAATTCTTTAGCTAAATGTGAGACTCTAAGGAAATAACCCTAAACAGAGGTGTTATTTATAAAAGCAAAATATTATAAACAAATTGCCACCACAAAAGTAAGGTTATACACACTGTAAGCTATATTCATAGAATGGAATATAATGTAGCCATTACATAGGACTTTTTAATAACATGTAAAAGTTACTTCATAATGTTAAATGAAATAAGAGAAATACAGAGACTATAGCACATCATCAAAAGTATGCATACAAAAAAATACATCAGTTTCCATAGAAAATAATGGAATGACCAAAATGTTCAAACACAGGTTGTCTTTGGAGTGAGAGACAGGTGATTCTTTTCTTCCTTTTTACTTTTTCAAATACTCTATAATGGGAATGGGGGCAGGGGGAACCTGGGTGTGTGTGTGTGTGTGTGTGTGTGTGTGTGTGTGTGTGTGTTTGGAGTCTCACTATGTCACTCAAGCTGGAGTGCAGTGGCACAGTCTAGGCCCACTGCAACCTCTGCCTCCTGGCCTCAAGCACTTCTCCTGCCTCAGCCTCCTGAGTAGCTGGGATTACAGGCACATGCCACCATGCCTGACCAATTTTTTATTTTTAGTAGAGATAGGTTTTTGCCATGTTGGCCAGGCTGGTCTCAAACTCCTGGCCTCGAAGGATCCACCTGCTTCAGTCGCCCAAAGTGCTGAGATTACAGGTGTGAGCCACCATGCCCAGCCTGTCACTTTTTTAAAGCATATTATTTTGTTATGTCTTCAAATCTGAACTAATTTAAGGGTTCTGCATCAGCTAGGATTCATAAAAGACAATGACACTTTCACACACTGTGCAGCCTATCGAAGCAGAAGTTATGCTTCAGAGATCGCATCCAACCTGAGGCCAAGGAGGCGAACTGACAAGCACAAGGGGACACACATGTGTGAGGTCCAGGATCTGTTTCCAGGCCTCACAATCCCATCTAACACTCCTCCTATTTCATCACACTGCCCCTCTGTCTTCACAATACAGACTTAAATACTTTGACCTCTGAACTTAAAAGTGTGGCTCTGGAACTAGCAACAGCACCTAGGAACCTCTTAGAAATCCAGATTATCACGCCTCTTTCCTAAGAAGGGAAATCAGAATCTGCATTTTTTTAACAAGATCCCCAGGGCAAGATTCTCAGAGAAGTAGCAGAAAGTCTCTCTTTGATGGTTTTAGTTGAAGCTGACTTGATCAAGTCAAAACAGTGATCTCAATCCCACCATTTGCTGTGTGACATGAAGCATGTTTCTCAACCTCTCTGTGCCTGGTTTTTTTTTATCTGTAAAATGGGGGTGATAAACCTATATGGCATATAGCAAGTGCAGAGATAGAAACCAGGTGCAGTATGTAAACAATGCCTGTAAATAACGCTTCTTGTTGGGTATGTTTCAACAGGCTTGGCGCTCTGTACAAGCTGGGATTCCTTGTGCAATGCTTGGCACATAGGAAGTGCTCAGCCAGTATGCATTTAATAAATAACCAGCAGGAATGCAGGTTATCATTTATCAATTTTTGACTTGATGAATTTTCTTTAGTATATAACATTCTCAAAACTGCCAGTTTTCTGCATCCCAACATTCAAAACTGAGCTCTCACCAGATGGTGAGAAAGCGGGGAGGCTAAAAGGTCATAGATAAGCTTAACTCATACTGTAAATCATTCATACTACAATTTTCTTTTTTTGAGGCATGTAGGTTTTATTTACAAATTTCTCCCTCTAACTGACCATAAAATTAACCAATCCAGGATGCTCACTGCAGGCAGAATGTTGGGGTGTTCTCTGGTGTCTGTTGCAGCTGTAGAATCATGGTTACTAGGCAAAGCCCTGTGGTGGCTGTAGTGTCATGGAGGGGCTACGATATTCTGTGGAGCTGGACCCTGGACTGAAGCCTGGAAAACTGAATGAGGAGATAGTGGGGCTGTTGCCCCATGACCCGAGTCCTCAAGTCACTTTCCACAGCCTCCATGGGAAGACACTGGTGTGTCCACACCTCAAGCGCTTACTGATGGGTCTGTTAGTTTTATTCACTTAGTCAATGTGTTAGAAATGGACTCCGTGTAACATGTAGGCATGGAGTATATAACACATCTCAGAGTGTGGTTTTTGAAGCACCTGCATCTGCATCATTTAAAAATGTATATTCTGTGGTCCCGACCAGGTATCTGGAATCAGAATATAAAATGGAGCTTGGAATCGGCCTTCTTAACAAGTCCCCTAGGTAATTCTTTATTCAAACTTTTTGATGTTGTTTATATTTTGAAACGTGTCATACATACAGAAGAGTTTATAAAACATATATACACAGTTTTTTAAAAGAACAAAACAAACACCTGTGTACCCCCTACCCAGGTTAACATATTGAGGATTGGGAGCTCTGGTGTGGCCACTTCTTTGGTACACTTTCTCCCCCATCAGAGGGAACTACTCTCCTAAATTTTGTGGCTTTCATTTCCTTAGTCAACCTGTTAGGAATCGACTCTGTGTAACATATGAAAAGCAGCTTGCAGAAACACTGGATTCACACATGAAGGAGAAATGCCAACTCACTGGCAAGCTTAGGGATGCCAAAAAAAAAAAACAAGATTGCAGAGATTGAGACATCTTTAGAGGATGTCAGGTCAGGGTACAAAAAAGTCTTTAATTCCGTTTTGTAGATGCTTACAAGGTGAACAGCACCAGCATAATGCTGATGCAGAAATTCACATCCAGAAGGGCACAGCGGCTCATGCCTGTAATCTCAGCACTTTAGGAGGCCGAGGTGAGCAGATCACCTGAGGTCAGGAGTTCGAGATCAGTCTGGCCAATATGGTGAAACCCGTCTCTACTAAAAATACAAAAACTAGCTAGGCATGGTGATGGGTGCCTGTAATCCCAGCTACTCAAGAGGCTGAGGCAGGAGAATCGCTTGAACCCGGGAGGTGGAGTTTGCAGTGAGCCGAGATCACACCATTGCACTCCAGCCTTGATGAGAGCAAGACTCCATCTCAAAAACAAAGAAAAGAGGAAAGAGGAGACGAGAGGACACAGGGGAGATGAGAGGAGACAAGGGGAGAAGAGAGGAGATGAGGGGAGAGGAAGGGAGAGGAGGGGAGATGATGGGGGAGGGGAGAAGGGGAGAGAGGGGAAGGAAAAAAAAGAAAATCACATCCCCGGTTCAAGAACTGAGAGAGATTTTTAAAAATTAGAAGAAGAAAAGAAAAAACGGTAGAAGAAAGATCCAGACTCTCCAAGCAACAAGAAGAGCTGGCAGAAATATTATCAATGCCGGAATCCGTGGAAGAGGCCATGGGAGACACCCCGTGATAAGGAGCTTTTCCACACCGGCCAGGTAGCCAAGAGCCAGCCCTGCTGCTCCCTTCTCCATGAGGGGCCTGGGTCATAGGACAGCGCTGTTCTTTCCCCTCCACTCAGGCCTCCAGAGCTGCCAGGCTATGTTCTCCCACGTTAACTCCAGTGGATCCAGGGGAGCCCCTTCCTGTATTGAAGTTTCCACCTTCGCCTACTGGCACTACAGCCAGCTCCTTCGTGGTCAATTACTCCAAATCTAAAGAATGCAGGAGAACCTGGAGCACACCAAGAAAGTCTGCATTCTCTCTCATTAGCAGCCAAAGAAATGCCATACTTGAGAGCCTCATCTTTTGCTCAAACTGAAACATCATCAAACTGCATTTCTCAAGACAATGCTCTATAAATATTATTTATATATTAATCTCCTAGATGAACAATTTCTATTTTATCCTCTATACAATTATTGTATTATACTTTGAAAATAGATTTCATTTACCAATAAAGACTTTCAGTACTCAATAGCAATATTTTTTCTAGAGTTATATTCCCAACAGTTGTAAGTCATAAGTTAAAGCATCATTTTTTGGGCTGTATGTATTTGTTGAAAAATTTTATGCAAAGAGAGACTTATTTTGGGATAAAGTAAAAGAGCATGTTTAAAGATAAATTTCTATTATTTAATATTTAGATTAAAATAGTGGATAAACATTTTTCGAAAAACAAAATTGACAAGTTACATGGAGATGGTTTTCTTTCACTACAAGAGTGCTGTAGGAAGAGATTTCTAAGAAGAAATCCCTTGAGAGCCCCACATCACTTTTTCCCATCTCCTCTCAAAATCACTTAAACATTTATCAGTGGAAAGCTGAGGAGGCTCTAAGGGACTTCTGTCTTACAAAATTAAACGAAGGTTCCCACAGTTAGTGTATGTAAACACCAGTCATGTCCCCTCATTAGTCAGTGGGCACAGATGGGTGTTATCCTGATGGAAGGGAAGCAGCAAGTGACATTTTGAGTAACTGCAGTGGAGGGGAAGTCACATAAATCAATGACAGGGACAGCAGCAGCAGACGTGCTTTGGTTCGGCCAGGCACAGTGGCTCATACCTGTAATCCCAGCACTTTGGGAGGCTGAAGCAGGTGAATCACCTCAGATCAGCAGTTCAAGACCAGCCTGGCAAAGGGTGAAACCCTGTCTCTACTAAAAATACAAAAATTAGCAGGGTGTGGTGGCGGGCACCTGTAATCCTAGCTACTTCGGAAGCTGAGGCAGGAGAATTGCTTCAACCTGGATGGTGAAGGTTGCAGTGAGCCAATGTGGTGCCATTGCACTCCAGCCTGGGTGACAGAGTAAGACTCTGTCTCAAAAAAAAAAAAAAAAAAAAAAGTGCTTCGGTTGGAGACAGCAAATGTCCCTGTCTTCATATTGCTCTCATTTTGGGGAGGAAAGGCAGATACTAAACAATGTAAGTAGAAGACACAGCATGTGAGGAGGTGTCAGTTTTATGGAGAAAAATAAAGAGGGAAGGGGCGGGAGTGATGCATGTGAGGGTGGGGACAATCTTGGCAGGGTTGGTCAGCAGGGCATCTGTCGGGAGGGAGCACCTGAGCAGTGAGGACATGGGGAAGAACTCTGTAGGAAGAGAGAGTGGAACTGGCAATAGGCCTGAAGGGTGCATGAGTCTGGAGGCGTGAGGACCATACAGAGGCCAGAGTGGCCTGAATTCAGTGAACGATGGCCACAGTGGGAAGTGAGTAAAGGGTACCAGGTGTCTGAGGATGGAAGGGTTCTCACCACAGTAAGAGTTTCAATATAACAGTTCAGAGGCAGCCTGCAGGGAACAGGGTAAAACAGGGAGACCAGGTGGGAGGCTATGACAGTGATTCTAGAGTGAGAATGGTGACAGCTGGACCTGAGGAGTAGTGGAGCGGGGGATGGAGAGATGGGCTTGAGTCCAGGACTTGTGCTGCAGCCGGAGACCAAGAGACTTACTGAGGCCTGCGGGTGCCAGAGAAAAGGGAAGTCAGGATGAGGACGAGGAGTCCACTGTGAGCATCTCCCTGAGGGGTGGTACACTTCGCTGGAACAGAGAGGGATGGCAAAGGAGGAGCATCTGGATAAACTGGAATGAATGGGAGGAGACTTGGGACCAGGACCTTTTGATACCAGAAAAGAAATACCAAGTGCTCAGATGGACAATCACAGCATCAGCAGAGATGCTGGAGGACTTGGAGGAGCAATCACAGCATCAGCAAGGAACATGGAGGATCATGGGGAGTGAAGTTACTATTACACAGAAAGTCCAAGGCCTGGGCAGATTCCAAAGGGTGAATGCAATGAGTCTGCTAGTGGCCAAGAACCCTCCTCGGGTCTCCCAGTATCCACGATACCACCAAAAGTCTCAAGAGTGAGCTCCCCAAGTCTGTTCCCATTAGGACACTTGAGTCGTGCAGAATCCTAACACAGCCTCCACCATTCACATGTGTATGCATGTCCACGTGCCATGTATACAGACTGATGAAGATCCCCTCCTTGACCAAGCTCTAGACAGGCTTCCCTGAGCCCCCTTCTCAACTAGGCCTCCACCTTGGCCTACGAAATCTGCAGATTACGGCAAAAAAGATCGGGTCATCCTTCCCCCTATATTAAAAGACTTAAACACATCATTTCTAACAACTCAAAGCTGCATCTGTAGGATGACCCCACACCCCCTAAAGTGTCTGCCTGGGAAAGCTGCCAAAAGAACTCACTGCTGGCTATTGGCAACACCTTACAAGGAGCACCTGATGTCCCTTTCTCATAGTTAACAACAACAAACTAAACATTTGTGAATCCTACCTCTGTCTCTTTGGGATATGTCTCCTACACAGTGTCCTTCTCAAAAACCTGAAAGCCATTTCTTCAACATACAATCACCAGGAAGCACAGGGCCTATCTCCCAGTTCCTGTGGGAGTATAGGACCCTAACTCCCATAACAACCACCTAACAGGCACGGTAGCCTAACCTTATTTACACTGACCCAACTTTTGCAAGTTTTCACTTTCCTGACTACTGAGTGCCTGCTCATCTCCATACTGCCACTCTCTCCCTCTGAAACACCCAATCACTTCTGCACAAAGCTCAATTCCGTTCACGAAGTACTTTCTTCCCTATTCCAATAGTATATTATTGACTAAAATCTGCTCTTACCACTTTTACTAGTGTCTAGCTTTACCTTCTACAGTTAATACCCATATGCCCACGTACATATGCATATATATGCACACGTAACATTTACATACACACATACATATATACATCTATCTCTATGTGTATTCTTAATGAATGTCATGTCTTCCCTAATCCTTTGGAAGATATTATCAGGTATTTCTTTGCAGTTTTCCTATAATCTATGCATTTCTTTTCTGTTCCTTTGGGTCCTTGCTTTGGTGTGGGTTTTCTTTCCATCCTTTCTGCTGGAGGAAGTCTTCAAGGATCAAGTGGTCCCTGGCTCCTCTTCCTATGTATGTGGTAGAAAGGAAGCCGTGGAGTAGAGCTGGGTGGAGCTGTGCGTGCTGGGGTGGTGCCTGTGCCCTCTGGACTCCGTGCTTCTTCGGGGGTGCTGAACGGCGGTGCTTACCCGTCCGCGTTCTCCGGGTCGCTAACGTGTTGCAGGCTGCATGCATCCCGCGTGGTCGCGGCTAAGTCCGGGAGCGGGCCTTCCTCCGGATTCTGAGGTGGGACAACAGCAGCACTAGGCGTGCTCCCATCTCCGGCGGTCCCCGGCTCCCGCTGTTCCCCTTTCTCGCTCCGGGCGCTGGCGGGCGCGGGCAGCGGGGGCGTGGAGGGAAGGACCGCCCGCCATGGCAGGGGGCGGAAACCGCGGCAGGACTCCGGGTCAGCGGCGACCATCGGGCTGCGGCCCCGCTCCCCCTCGGCATCCGCGCCAGCCTGCGCCCGGGTCTGAGCTACTGCGGCCGCCGCATCAACTTAAGCCTGTCGCGGCCATGGCGGGCGGCGCCGCGCAGGCCGCCACCTCCCGTGATTTCCAGTCCGCGTGGGCTTCTCAGGCGGCCGCGGCCTAGGCAAGAGGTTCGGCTTAAGCCCGGAGCACTCGTGTCCGCGCCGGGAGAAGGGCAAGGGCGCGGCCCCCGGACCCCGCGAGGTTCCAGTGCCGCCGGGAGGATGCTCGCGGCCCTCCCCGCCGTCGGCGCCCCAGAATTTTCTGATAACAGTCTGGCGTTCAACCCTCCGTCCTCTCTAACGCCCAACTGTTACTCCGCCCGCTTCCTCTAGGCCCCGCCCCCATCCGCAGGGCCCCGCCCCTTTCTTATGTCTCCAGCTTTCTCCACGGCCCCGCCCCCTCAAGTCTGTCTGTCTCCCCTCCCACCTCACACCTCCGCCCGCCCGTCAGCCCTGGCTCCGCGTAACCACTGGGCTCGCCGCCACAGGCCCCGCCTCCAGCTCATAGCCCAGCGCGCCGCAGCTGCGTGTGTGAGGCTCAAGCCTCTAGCTTTCACCGCGCCCGGCTTCATCGCCGCCCGCGGCGCAGTGTCGCGCTCCTGCGCGAGGGCTGCTGAGGCCTGGCCGGGAACCGCGCCTCCGCCCGCGCTAGGTAGGGGCTCGAGGACGGGCGCGGTGCAGGTCTGCGGAGACATCCCGAGAGGGGCAAGGGTGCCGGGCCACGCGTGGGGGCGGGCAGGGCCCGGGAAAAGACCGCGCCCCGGGCCCGGAGCGGCTGAGCGCCCAGGCGGGGAGTGCGAGGCCTGGGCCGAAGGTTACTGGCGCCGATCGGCGTCGCGTGGCCTGAACGCCAGGCTTTTCGGTGGAGAGCAGCTTGCCCCCGTGTGTTGCGCCTTTTCCTGGGTCTGACCGGCGGCGAGGTGAGGAGGCGGCGACTGCAGCAGCAGCAGCAGCAGCAGTAGTCTTGGGCTCCCGGACGCGCTCCCGACGTGGGGCGGGTTGGGGAGTGGGGACTGGAGCGTGACGGCTGGACGTCACCTTCTCGGGGCGGCAGGTCCCGGGAGACCGGGGGACGAAGTGCTGGCCCGTCCTGGGGAGAGCGGAGCCACCTGGATTGAGGGCGCCCGCGTTGGCCCCGGAAAGGCAGGAAGGGGGCGGGGAAGGGATGGCGAGCACGGGGTGCAGCCGCCTGTTTCTTTCATCTTTAGGCACCGTCCTTGGAGAAGATGGAAGAGGAGAGGCGGCCGGCGCCAGGCTCGCCCTCCGAGGGCCTGTTTGCGGATGGGCACCTGATCCTATGGACGCTGTGCTCGGTCCTGCTGCCTGTGTTCATCACCTTCTGGTGTAGCCTCCAGCGGTCGCGCAGGCAGCTGCACCGCAGGGACATCTTCCGCAAGAGCAAGCACGGGTGGCGCGACACGGATTTGTTCAGCCAGCCCACCTACTGCTGCGTGTGTGCGCAGCACATTCTGCAGGGCGCCTTCTGCGACTGCTGCGGGCTCCGTGTGGATGAGGACTGCCTCAAGAAGGCCGACAAGCGCTTTCAGTGCAAGGAGATTATGCTCAAGAATGACAGCAAGGTCCTGGACGCCATGCCCCACCACTGGATCCGGGGCAACGTGCCCCTGTGCAGTTACTGTATGGTTTGCAAGCAGCAGTGTGGCAGCCAACCCAAGCTCTGCGATTACAGGTAGGGCCTCCGTGGACACCCACTGTCCCAGAATGCGCCGTGGAAGTCAGGATTTCATAGAGTGGTGTAGAGGCCTGCTTTAATCTCGGCAGATGGCCTACACTCATTTCAAGGAAACAAGCTAATAAATAAACGTCCCTGGGTTTTTGCAAGTGTGGCAGCTTTGCAGTGGTCATTTGCTGAGATGAGGCGTCCAGCCTCCATTCCTCAGCCAGCCTACCCTTTTGAGTAATAAAACTTGGCTCCTAACGTCATTGCAGAGGTTTCTAAGTGGCACCTGCTTCGTGGCCACGGTATATTTGAGCTTTTGTTCCTATCGATTATCTTATTTTAAATAAGGAAAACGGAAATACAGACAAATTAACTTTTCCCTCCAGCCACAAAACTGATGTATCACAGGTTTTGTACTATGAATGTACAGTGAAAACAAGTGTCATTCCAAGGCGGCACTTTTATATCTTTTGCTAATATAGCTGTTGCTACCATAGTAAAATAGACTTAAAAAGAACACTGATAGGAATATTCCTTTTGACGCCTGGTCTTTCAGGACATGTAGAATCTTAGATAAGTTACCTTGATTAAGCCAACAATATTTTAATGTCTTTTATATACACACTGGACAACACATTTTTGTCCTTAAATATTGTCTGAACATAGGTGACGATATCCTTAGCTGATTTTGGAGATTGGTAAAGGAGAATGCTGCTTTGCAAATGTTACATTCAACTCAGTTCACAGTTGAGAAAATTAAAGCTCGTTAGGTCTACTCTGGTAAGATAGGACGGGCCTCCAGGATTTCCAGCTCCAGACTAACACCTAGCTTCCTTTGAGCCTTAAGTGTGGACATCATTGTAATGAGTTTCTGACAAGTAGAAGGGCCCATAAACATGCTTACAAGCTGAAATAGGCAGTAAATAGGAAGCTGCTTTTTAATTTTTTTTAATTTTTTTGGCAGAAACTCGTTAGCATGAGTGCTATATAATGTCAATACCTGTTTTTAAGTCTTATTTTAAATTAATTTACACATTATCAAAGAGGCTTAAGAATAAATGGTCAAAATAATACATTCTAGAAAACTACAAAGTTTTGTAACCATGCATTTTTATTTGGCATCTATATAAATTAAATTCTGTCCTTCTGGCATCAGTGAGAGCCAAGTTAGCAGGGATTTCAAATAAATTTCATAATGAATTGAGTATTGTTCTATTTCCTTCCCTTCTCTGGTGTAGCCAGCCTCCAGCGGTCTCTGTGTCTGTGCAGAATTTGATTAAAAATGGTTTCCATAAATAACTGTATTTCAAATACTCCTGAACACATAATCATAGTGCCTCTGATCCTCCACCCAAATGATCGTTCTAAAAATGCAAATCTGATCAAGTCCCTGCCCTGCTTAAAACTCTTTAAATTGCTCCCCATCATGTAAGCTGATTGTTTTACAGTATAAACCCCCTCAGTGCTTATTAACAGGGTACATAAGGTCCTAGTACTCTCTAGCCTCTTCCCTTCTAGTCTTACCTAACACCAACTGCATGAAGCTTTATGCACCAACAACACCAAGCTTCTTGTGATTTCCTTTAAATGTCAGGCATTTTCTGACATTTCGGCCCATTTGCTCAAAGCTTTCCTCTCTTTAATATTCTGGCTAGCTTCTAGGCATCCTTAAAGACACCCCTTGTCCTTGTCCTTTCCCCCAGCAACTCTTGCCTGATCTACTCACCTTCCCTCATCCCCCAGTTTTTCCTTCTTGGTGATAACATAATATCCTATATCTCAGTGGTTCTCAAAGTAAGGTCCCTAGACCAGCAGCATCAGCATCCCTTCAAAATCTGTTAAAAATGCAAACTAGGGTTGCCAGATTTAGCAAATAAAAATAAAATATTGCAGTATTTGTTGTTTCTCTGAAATTCAAATTTAACTAGGCATTGCCTTTTTTTTTTTCTGGCAACCCTAGCCACACCCCAAACCTACTAAATCAGAAACTTGGGCTAGACATCAGCAATCTTGGTTTTTTTTTTTTTTTTTTGAGACGGAGTTTTGATTTTGTTACCCAGGCTGGAGTGCAATGGCGCGATCTCGGCTCACCGCAACCTCCACCTCCTGGATTCAGGCAATTCTTCTGCCTCAGCCTCCTGAGTAGCTGGGATTACAGGCATGCGCCACCGTGCCCAGCTAATTTTTTGTATTTTTAGTAGAGATGGGGTTTCACCATGTTGACCAGGATGGTCTTGATCTGTTGACCTCGTGATCCACCCGCCTCGGCCTCCCAAAGTGCAGGGATTACAGGCTTGAGCCACCGCGCCCGGCCAGCAATCTTGGTTTTAACAGGCCCTACAGGTCCTTCTAAAGATGGAAAACACCTGCTATATTTATGTGTCTTTAAAAACATGCACCTTTGTCTTTAATTTTGTGTCCTCCCATTGAGCACACTGAATGTTTGTGATAATAGATCTTCTTTTCCTAAATACCCTTTACCCCATAATAGAAATTGTCTCTGTGTAATTTAGATGTTTATTATTCCCAAGAGAGCACAGTATTCTTAAGTTGTACATATTCTACAATGTTCTGAACTGATTTATGTTTGCAAATAGTTTTATACAGGATTACAGTCTCCCGTGACCTTTTGTAGGAATGAGATATTTTGGAAAGAAAAACAAAATAAATAGCTACGTAAAACCTTTAAACACAGACCAGACAGTCCTTCTCTGGATTTTATCTATCTTTGAAGAGGGCTTCTTCCATGTCTGCATCACATTCTTAGGGAAGTGATTGAACTCGGCAGACAAGTTAGCATTTCAAAGGACACTAATGAGAGATAACTGAGTTTAAAGCCTGCAGAATATGTGAGAAAGGCCCTTTAATTTTTACTCATTCAGTCATTATACTTACTGAGCATCTATTTTTGTACTAGACACTGTGTTAGAGTCTACTTTGCCTGTGGATTTTTTCTTTTTGTGTGTTCCTGTTTCTACCTCCAACCACTATAATGTATTTCTGCACCTAGTATCTTATTTCCCTGTTTTTCCTTTTCTTTTTCTTACCTCTCTTCTGACTAAAATAGGAATTAGGTTATATTTTTACATCATTATATTTATCAAATGAACCTTTGTTTCTTGTAGTGTTCTGTCTCATTAAGAGAGAAAGAACTTAAAGTGCTTTTTAATTTATAGGACCTTCCATTTATTACATCCACCCCACGCCTCACACACAAATACTGTGCTTAGTGAAACAAAGCTGCTGACTCTCAGAAGGCAGTTACATGGGCCTCAGTGTCATTAGTCTCAGCTTTGATCATGAATTTTGTTTCTATATTCCATTGGTATGTGTTTATTCATTTCATTAATTATCTGAAACAGTGAAAGATACCAAATCATCTTCTAGAGCAAAGATGGACAAACTTATTATAAAGAGCCAAAAGAATTTTAGGTTTTCCCAACCATTTTGTCTGTCATAATTACTTAACTCTGCCATAGTTACAGTACAAAACCAGCCATGGACAATACATAAATGAGTGGGTTTACCTGTGTTCCAGTAAAACTTCATTCACAAAATCAGATGGCAGACATATTTGCAGTTTGCAGAACCCTGTTCTACTGTGACTCTCATAAATGACCCTCTCAACTTTGTGTATAATTAGCTGCCTCCAGGACACTAAAGAAGAGAGCTATTGTGAACGGCTTATTTTTTAGAGGAAATGAGCCTTGTTAAACCTTTTTTTTTTTTAAATAAAGCAGTCATACTCCTGCATAAGAACGGCATATTAATTTGTGAAGCATTCCATATTTTCATATGGAGGAACTTTCTAGATCTTGATAAGGGTTTTAGTTTCATATGTTCATTTATCAAAACTCAGGAAGTACATATATTTGTACATTTCATTGTATGTAAATTTTACTCAAAAGGAAAAAACATAAATCACAAATTCTAGATAGTGATAAGCCTATTTGCTGATGTATTTAGGAAGTATTCTAATATCTTCAGTTTACTTGAAAACATTAAAAATAAGATGGGTTAATGGATGGATAGAAACGTGACAAAGCAATTACAGGAAGATGTTAACAGAAGAATGTAGGTGGTAGGCATACCTGTAAAAATATTTTTTGAGTAAAATATTTTAAAAAGCAAGGAAACTATTATTGCTTTTAAAATATATTTGCTGAAATATTGAAGGGTGGGATCTCATGCTGTCTGCAGTTTACTTTCAAATGATTTAGTAATTATATGAGTTTATATTGAAAGAGAGTGGGAGATGATGTTAATTAAGAATGAGCATGAAAGGTGGGCTTAGAGTATTCGTTTTGCTATCCTTGTGACTTCTCTGAAAGTTTGAAATTTTTCAGAATAGAAAGATCATAAGCAATTACCCAATGACATGATGCTAAAGCTGAAATATCAAGACATTTAGTAATGTCTTATCTTTCCAGTGAGTTTGAAATCTAGGTTGTTAAATGCTGACAACATATGTGGCTGGGCATGATGGCTCACACCTATAATCCCAGCACTGGGAGGCCAAGGCAGGCAAATCATGAGGCCAGGAGTTCGAGACCAGCCTGGCCAACCTGGTGAAATTCCATCTCTACTAAAAATACAAAACTTAGCCAGGCGTGGTGGCAGGCACCTGTAATCCCAGCTACTCAGGAGGCTGAGGCAGAAGAATGATTTGACCCCAGGAGGTGGAGATTGCAGTGAGCTGAGAAAAAAAAAATATAAAGAGACTAGGCTTGAAAAAAAAAATATGTAGAGACTAGGCTTCAGGTTTGAATATGGTATTTCTAAAGAAGAATGTGATAGTGAGTAATTAATAAGCATTTTATTTTATTTTATTTTATTTTATTTTATTTTATTTTATTTTTTGAGACAAAGTCTTGCTCTATACTGCCCAGGCTGGAAGGCAGTGGTATGATTATGGCTCACTGCAGTGTCACCCTCCCAGGTTCAAGCAATCCTTTCACCTCAGCCTTCCAAGTAGCTGGGACTACAGACATATACCACCATGCCTGGCAGTTTTTTTCTTTTTTGTAGAGATGGGAGTATCATCATGTTGCCCATGCTGGTCTCAAAGTTCCTTGGCTCAAGGGATCATCTTATCTTGGCCTCCCAAAGTGCTGGGATTACAGGCATAAGCCACTGTACCTGGTGGCCCTAGTAAGCATTTTAGCTTTACCTTTATAGAGCAAAGGCTCATAATAGCTATTATCTTGGTTAAAATAATCTTTTCTGGGCCAAGTGTGGTGGCTCACACCTGTAATCCTAGCACTTTGGGAGGCAGAGATGGGCAGATAACCTGAGGTCAGGAGTTCGAGACCAGCCTGACCAACATGGAAAAACTCTATCTCTACTAAAAATACAAAATTAGCCAGGCGTGGTGGCACATGCCTGTAATCCCAGCTACTCGGGAGGCTGAGGCAGGAGAATCACTTGAACCTGGGAGGCAGAGGTTGTGGTGAGTGGAGATCGTGCCATTGCACTCCAGCCTGGGCAACAAGAGCAAAACTCTGTCTCAAAAAAAAAAAAAACTTTTCTGAAATTTATAAGAATTTAGTAAATGGTAAATGTTCTGTCACAAATTTATTGGGGATAGAAAATATTAATTTGTGAATTTTTCTAGGACATGTACTCTTTGGGGGAGGGAGGAAGGTTAATTCTTCATAATATACCAGATTAATTCTGGGCAGATTAATGCAGGGGTTTGTTTGTCTTGTTTTGTTTGTTTGAGACAGCCTCACTGTGTTCGCTGAGGTATCTCAAGCATAAGCTAGTATCATTTAAAACAATGTTCAAAATTTATACAAGAGTTCATGAATATATTCTGGTTTTTAGGCTGTCAAGGAATACATACAAAAAAATATGTAGGCTGAAAAGTTAATATCCTTCCCATTCCTCAGTCCTATTTTTCTTCCTGGAGGAAACCATTATGAAATAATTCAGGGGTATCCTTTCTGATTGCTTTTGATGGTAATATACTATTTTAAAGTTAATGGTAGACCAGTAAGTAGAGATATGATACCTTAACCACATAACCAGTGTATTATACTAACTCAAGTTTAGTTTACAATCAACAAATGTGATTATACAAATTATTTTCGTTTCTCTGTAACAGTTTATGCAGAGAACTCTTTCTTTTAGCAGTAAATAGTAGTCAAGTAAACAGCACTAAGTACTTGACAAATCTGAACATCCAAAAGGAAGAAACAGCTTAAAATAGAAGGCCAAGAGAGGACCTCTGGGTGAAAAAAAATGTTTATCCTCTTTTTTTTATTATTATTTATTTAATTATAACCACTCTTTTCTGGTGGCCTGCTTTATCTGTCCAGTCATATCTGTCTTATCCGAGAGTGGATTAAATACTTAGCAGATTAATAATAGAAACCCAGGACCTTTACTAGGTCTGTTCTCAGCTTGTTTTAAGAATTGGGTCCAAACATAGAGGCAAATCCAAATGAAAATGTTCTTATGTCTATTTCAAAAGCAAACGTGAATTATTTTCATATTAATTGACAAAACACACTGTTGTACTTATATTTACAAGTTAAGAGATTTTTTCAAGCTGGACCCTGAGGAACTCTTCAAGGGCCCATGTCAGTGGGACATTTAAATAGCAAGGACTTAAGGCCTCATGAACCTACATTTCAGCCAGAGCACAAATATATATAAAGCTATTGTTTTAGATCAGCTTTTGTTTCTGTAGGTTATATCTATTGATATTTACCATGCCGTAAATTAAAACTGATAAATTTTTAAAATATTTTAAAATAATAGCATAAATTATTTTTATGAAGAGGTGAGTTACATTGTTTTAAATTTTTGTACGTTTCTTTCACTGATACTCCAGCTAGATTATCATATTTGCTTCTGTTGTCATAGCACATGTCATAAAGCTTCTGGAAAACTCCTCTGTACATTTTTGAGAGGATGAGGGTGAAATAACTCTTTAGTAGTAGTATTAAAATTTTAACCTCACAGATCTTGGGGGCCTGAATGGATCTTGGGGGACCCAAGCAACACTTTAAGAAATGCTGTCAGGCTGGTCACAGTGGCTCACACCTGCAATCCCAGCACTTTGGGAGGCCGAGGTGGGTGGCTCATTTGAGGTCTGGAATACAAGACCAGCCTGGCCAACATAGTGAAACCTGTCTCTACTAAGAATACAAAAATTAGCTGGGTAGTAGTGACGCATACCTGTAATCCCAGCTACTCAGGAGTTGAGGCAGGAGAATCACTTGAGCCTAGGAAGTGGAGGTTGCAGTGAACTGAGATTGCACCATTGCACTCCAGTCTGTCTCAAAAAAACAAAAAAGGAAATACTGTTCGATTAAACTGCCAAATATGTTCAAATATTATTGCTCCTAAAGCTTGACTAGTATACCCTGGGGCATAAAAAGAAAAAAACCTTATTGCTCCATTTCACTGTGCACATAGAGTTATATATCTTTTATTTGCCAAATTTTATGGTAAGTAGTGATAAAATTACTGTTTTATTTTTTAGCAAAAATGATTGTTTTGTGGGTTATCAGTGAGATTGTGGTTTAAAATTAATTAATTAAGCTTGTTTCTTCTTTCCCTCAGGTGCATTTGGTGCCAGAAGACAGTACATGATGAGTGCATGAAACATAGTTTAAAGAATGAAAAGTGTGATTTTGGAGAATTCAAAAACCTAATCATTCCACCAAGTTATTTAACCTCCATTAATCAGATGCGTAAAGACAAAAAAACAGATTATGAAGTGGTAAGTAGAATTTATTTCTCTTAAATGATTGATTTTTAAAAAGCTGCTTAAGTCATTGTTTGAGATGGTTAAGACTATGTAAGAAGAATCGGTGCCGGGAATAAAATAAACTTAAATAACAGATCAAGACCAAGGAGGGAAATAAAATGCCATTATGGTAAGCCATAAAACCCTACCTACTTCCTAGAGATGGGTCAAAAATTTGGTCTTTTGAGTTCTTTCATGTCTAAAAGGAAATTGGAAATGTTCTATTAGTGGTTTCTATATCATTGCCTGCATCTGAATAATTTAGGGAGCTTTTTAAAAATACAGATTTCTGAGTAGTACTTTCCTTGCCATATTTCATTTAGTAGGTCTAGGGTAGGTCCAGGAATTCATCTTCTTTTTTTTTTTTTTTTTTTTTTTAAGGTCCTCAGATGATTCTGATGGAGAGCCAGGTTTGGGATTCATGATTATTGTCAGTGAAAAGAAAATATAGATTGTCCTCACACCTTATTCTAAAAATACTTTTCTATTTGGAACTTTATACAGGGTTCCTAAAGTTTACTTTGCACATTAAATGTTCCCACAAATAATGGTGAACATTAAACTTGTTGACAACTGTTCATAGTTGACGTAACTATTACTGTGTCTCTCAGTCTTAAATTTATAGATTTATTTTCTAATTGGATATACCAAAATAATTGAACTATTTTATTTTCAAACTGTACCTTTTCCAAATTAAGATTTTATGTCTTAAATGTCACTTTTGTCAGTATTCCTGCAAGAAAAGGGACGTTTTTAAATTTTCAAACATTAACAGTTTTTGACACTTTTTTTGTGCAAAACAGAGTTTTGCTCTTGTTGCACATGGTGGCGTGCAGTGGTGCTGTCTTGGGTCACTGCAACCTGTGCCTCCTGGGTGCAAGCAATTCTCCTGCCTTAGCCTCCAGAGTAGCTGGGGTTACAGGCATGCACCACCACGCCCTGCTAATGTTTGTATTTTTAGTAAAGACGGGATTTCACCATGTTGGCCAGGCTGGTCTCGAACTTCTGATCTCAAGTGATCCACTCACCTTTGCCTCCCAAAGTGCTGGGATTACAGATTACAGACATGACCCACTGCGCCTGGCCCAACACTTTTTTTTTCTTTTTTTTTTTTTTTTTTGAGACAGAGTCTCATTCTTTAGCCCAGGCTGGAGTGCAGTGGCATGATCTTGGCTTACTTACAGCCTCTGCCTCCCAGGTCCCAGTTCAAGCAATTCTCCTGCTTAGCCTCCAGAGTAACTGGGATTACAGGCGTGTGCCACCATGCCCAGCTAATTTTTGTATTTTTAATAGAGATGGGGTTTCTCCATGTTGGCCAAGCAGGTCTTGAACTCCTGACCTCATGATCCTCCCACCTTGTCCTCCCAAAGTGTTGGGATTACAGGTGTGAGCCACCACGCCCAGCCGACACTTTTTTAAAATGTACAAATCTCTTATTTATCTGAGTTTAATCCGAAATCACAAGAGAGGAGAATCACTAAGTAAAACCACAGAATAACTTCATTAATGGCTACATCTATAAGGAGAAGGGAAGAAGAAATGGTTACATTGTGAAAAACATTAATTGCATTTGACTTTAAGCTATTAGAAATCCAGATGTTTTTAATCTAAGTACCCCATTTTTAAAAAAGAAATAAAAAGGCCAGCACAGTGGCACATGCCTGTAATCCCAGCTACTCGGGGGGGCTGAGGCAGGAGAATCATTTGAACCCAGGAGACGGAGATTGCAGTGACCCAAGATAGTGCCATCACACTCCAGCCTGGGCAACAAGAGCGAAACTCCATCTCAAAAAAAGAAAAGCTTGCAAAATATGCTAGAATACATCCAGTAAAGGAAAATCAAGGTAAAAGATGAGAGAAAATCAGTGTCTATTCTATGAATGGCTGAAAGTTATGGAAGGACATATTTTCAACTCAAGTCCAAACATTCTGATAATTTGATGTAGCAGTGTAATGGGCTGCATTATTAGTAAGTTCCTTATGTGAGTTTCTGAGCATATGCTGGATGACTTTATCTAGAATAATGTAGAAGAGAACTAAACATTGAATGAGAGGTTCAATTAGTTAATTGCTGAGGTTCCCTTCCATTCGTAGAATTCTTTGATTTTTATATTGAATTGAAAGAACTGGTGTAGTTGTTTTCATTACAGCAAATTACAGCACCACTATAATCAAGGCATGGAAAATGTGCTTGTCATCTCTGAGATACTAAACCCTTTTCCCTAATGGCAATTTTTTTTAGCTAGCCTCTAAGCTTGGAAAGCAGTGGACCCCATTAATAATCCTTGCCAACTCTCGTAGTGGAACTAACATGGGAGAAGGACTGTTGGGAGAATTTAGGATCTTGTTGAATCCAGTTCAGGTAACTAAAGAAAAAAATTTCCTTTTTTTATTAATGTTTTCATTTTCCCTAAAATGCAATGGTTACTAATGCTTAAGTCACTAATCCTGATCATAGGAAAGAATAAAAGATCAGCTGTTTAAATATGTGGAGAAACAGGAACTCCTGTGGTGGGAATATAAAATGATATAACCTTTTTGGGAGACATCTTGGCAGTTTCTTAAAAAGTTAAACATAAATTTATTTCATCTCCTAGCAATTCCTCTACTAGGAATCTACCCAAGGGAAGTGAAACATGTTTCTCACAAAAAAATGTTCATAGCAGCATTATTCATGATAGCCAGAAAGCATAAACAGCCCAGCTGTCCATCAGCTGGTGAGTTGATAAACAAAATGTGATGTATCGATACAATGGAATACCATTAAATGACAAAAAGGAACAAGCTATTGATACAAACATATTACAGTAAATGAACCTCAAAAACATAGTAAGTGAAAGAAGACAGATACAAGGGACTTTATATTGTATGATCCCGTTTATGTGACCTGTCTAGAAAAGGCAAATCCCTAGAAGTAGAGAATAGATTATTGGTTGCCTGAGGCTAGGGCTGGAAATAGGGAGTGAGTGCAAATGGACATTGAGGGATCTTACTGAAGCAACAGAAATGTTCTAAACTGGATGATGGTGATGGTTGCGCAGCTCAGTGAACTTAATCAAAGTTACTGACTTGTTCACTTCAAATGGGCAAATCTTTTATGTAAATTACACCCAGTTTTAAAAATAAAAGGGATCGTTAAGATTGAATGTACAACTAGCAACTTTGAAAAGTTAACCCCAAAACAAAAAAAATACAAAAAAAACCACTAATTTTAAAAAAAGGAAAATTAAACAACACATTGTGTAACAATTAGAAATGCAGTAACTTTGTCCTTCCAATTTGTATTTTTTACTCTTTCAATATTATACAGTTTAAGAAAATTATAAAAAATAAAGGAAAAATCATTTGCAATTTCCCCATACAAATACATTGGTTTTCTTTTTTCTTGTTCTTTCCATTAATTATCTATGCATTTACTTTGCATATTAACAGTACTATAACAATAATCTATATACAAATTTACATTCTGATTTTTTTAACTTTAATAGTATAAATATTTTTCCTTGTTTCTACATAGTCCTCATAATTACATATTTAACAACTAGAATAATTGAATGGATTATTTATCCAGTCTCCTATTGTTGAAGGGTAACACTGTCTCTATGATTGTATTATAAGTAATGCCACAGTGAATATTTTTATACATATCTTTGGACATTTTTGTCTACCGAAATATTTTTTCTAGGATCATTGACAGAATTATGGATTATCAAAGTTACTTGCATTTTTACATCATTTTCTATGTATTGCAAAATTGCCTTCCAGAAATTTATACTAACTTGTACTGGTGATTTTTTTTTTAAGCCAGTATAAGATATGAAACACTAGTTAAAGGTGAACTTAGCACATTGTGGTTTATGTGAACAGGAAGGAGGTAATGTGGTATAATAGATAAACTATAAATTTAATTTTTTTTATTTTTATTTTTTGAGACAGAGTCTTACTCTGTCAAGCTGGAGTGCAGTGGCACGATCTTGGCTTACTGCAACTTCTGCCTCCCAGGTTCAAGTGATTCTTCTATCTCGACCTCCTGAGTAGCTGGGATTTCAGGGGCACACTACCACACCCGGCTTATTTTTGTATTTTTAGTAAAGACAGGATTTCAGTATGTTGGCCAGGCTAGTCTCAAACTCCTGACCTCAAGAAATCCACCCACCTTTGCCTCCCAAAGTGCTAGGATTATAGGCGTGAGCTACCATGCCCAGCCTGAATTTGTATTTCAGCATTTAATTACCTGGAGAATCACAGGCAAGTGATTTAACCTTCCTGCAGCTCAGTTTCCAGCTCAAGACTGAGGCTAACTCTTGCTTTATAGAGTCAGTGTGGGGATGAGCTACAATGAATAGAAAGGGTCTGGCACAGTGCCTGGCATATTGTTAAAGACAAATACGTAGTAGCCAGTAGTGTTATTTAACTATATCTCTACTCATCTAGAGGGAAATCATCTTGAGAGATGAAGGAAAATGTTGGATAAAAATAACTTTTCTTTTTCTTTTGTTTCTAGATTTTTGATGTAACTAAAACTCCTCCTATCAAAGCCCTACAACTCTGTACTCTTCTTCCATATTATTCAGCTCGAGTACTTGTTTGTGGAGGGGATGGGACTGTGGGCTGGGTCCTGGATGCAGTTGATGACATGAAGATTAAGGTATTAGTCTTTAAAAACTACTACAGAAGGACTTCTGAGATAAATATACTATACATATACATATATATATACACATACACACACACACATATTTATATTTTATATATATATATATATATTTTTTTTTTTTTGAGATACGGTCTCACCCTGTCACCCAAGCTGGAATGCAGTGGCACAAACACAGCTAACTACAACCTCCATCTCTCAGGTTCAAGCAATCCTTCCACCTCAGCCTATAAAGTTGCTGGGACTATAGGTGTTCACTACCACACCTGGATAATTTTTGTATTTTGTAGGGACAGGGTTTCACCATGTTGCCTGGGTAGCTCTCAAACTCTTGGGCTCAAGCAGTCCTCCCACCTTGGCATCCCAAAGTGCTGGGATTACAGGCATGAACCACCATACCCAACCTAATATAGAATATTTTTGCTTTATGTTTTTTATTATGCAGGTGAATATTAGACATTGCCAGTTTTAAATAGTTAAGAATGAGATGTTTTGATATGCATTTATTACAAGCTTTAGCAAAACAACCTACAGTTGTTATATTTGTATCTTTACTGCTTTGATCTTATTAAATTTTACAAAATATTATTACCCAGTAAATACTCTGCAGAGAAAAATCTAAAATATATCTTCTATATTCTAGGGACAAGAAAAGTACATTCCACAAGTTGCAGTCTTGCCATTGGGAACAGGCAACGATCTATCAAATACATTGGGTTGGGGTGCAGGTTATGCTGGAGAAATTCCAGTTGCACAGGTCTTACGAAATGTAATGGAAGCAGATGGAATTAAACTAGATCGGTAAGTTACATTTCTCCAAAAAGTAGATTTCTTGAGATTTAGTCATAATTGTTTGATTGAAAACGAAGACTTGTCCGGATGAAAAGTAGCATATAACTTAAATGTGAAAGACGCTATTAGTTGTACTTACACATAGATGCTGGTGTTTTGTTTTATTATGTAAGAGTCAAAGTAATAAGTTATACTGAGTATGTATCCCTAAATTTGCATGCTCATATATATGTGGTTACTTTTTTAGATGGTATTTTAATAGAAAACCCTCATTTATTCAGATATCCAGAGTACAAGGTTTATTGTAAAAAGTGCTGGGGTTTTTTTTTCTGTTTTTTAGATGGAAAGTTCAAGTAACAAATAAAGGATACTACAACTTGAGAAAACCTAAGGTATGTTGTTAGTGCTTCACTTGGAAGTAGTTTCAGCTTCACTGCACAAGATTCGGCACTTTGTGGTGAGATACAGAGACCTGGTGCTTATCTCAAGGGAGCTGGCTATAGAGCAGAACAGAAACTTCTAAGCTTACCTCACAAGCTGAACTGAAAATGTGTCATGGGAGAGAACAGGGTGTAGGTGTGGTTAGTTCTGCCCTAGCTGATCAGGCTGAGAAGATTCAGAGAAAGTGATATGGGAGTTGGTCCTTAAAAAAGCAAAGGACTTACCAGGCAGAGGGAATAGAGGTGAGAGTGCAAAGCATGGTTAGCAAGTAGCAAATAATACAGAGCTAGCAGATCTACATTTTTAAAAGATACTCTGGAGATAATGTGAAAATAGCATGGAAGCCTGCACTAGGGAGAATTAGGATGAGGACAATGCAAAGACATTTTAGAGGTAGAATTCATCAGTACTTGACAACTGATTAGTATAAAGGGAAGAGAGAACATACATATTACTTCTAGATTTCTAGTTTTTATAACTGGATATATGGAAACTACTGTAAGAAAAATACCAAGTTTCATGTTTACTTGGGAAGAAAATAAGATAGTTATTGGGCATATCAATCTAAAAGTCTTTGAAGTATTGAAGAAGTTGGAAGTTTAGGCTTATTGCTCAGGAATAAAGACAGAGCTAGAGATGCAACCTGAGGAATCCAGACTGGGTTAGGAAGTAAAATAAACCAGGGTGGAGGCAAGGGGAGTAACCCAAGTTGTGAGATTCAAGTCCCTAGTTATCAGCCTTTGAACTGAAACTTTATTTTTGGTAATTGTTTAAATGCTGAGAATGCATGAGAGAATGTGGGGAGTGAGAGGGGAAAAGAGGGCCAAGAACTACATCTTTTTTTTTTTGGAGATAGGGTCTCGCTCTGTCACTCAGGGTAGAGTGCAGTGTTGTGATTACAGCTCACTGCAGCCTCGACCTCTGGGCCCAAGCAGTTCTCCCACCTCAGCCTCCCAAGTAGCCAGGGCCACCAGCATGTGCCACCATGTCCAGATAGTTTTGTTTTTGTTTTGTCTCCCTCTGTTGCCCGGGCTGAACTTGAACACTCCTACGGTCAAGCAATCCTCCCACCTCAGCCTTCCGAACTGTTGGGATTACAAGCATGAGCCACTGTGCCCAGACAGGAACTACATTTCAAAAATAGATATATTTAGATGACACGGATTGAGAGGCCATGAAAGGAAACTAAAGAATATAATAAGTAAATAAGGAGAAAACAGAACGAGAACTGCAATAGATGGGTGATAAACAACAGAATAATGCAGACTTTAAAGAAGAGCATTTGGGGAACACTGACACATGTTTCTCTGCTTCTCTGTGTCCTTACCACTAAAATCCTTCTAAAATGGTGATAAAGATCTTGTGTAGATATTTGAGAAGGCACAAAACCTTAAGGACAAAGAGATCACAGCAGTCTTTAAGAAGCCAAAACTAGGAAGGTTAGCATATTGAAAAAAGCTGAAAAGTACCTACACTGCAGAAAACTAAGAAAGAAACCAGTTTATTGAGCAGAACCAAGCAAAGGCTTAGGAATTCAGGTCACCACATCACTCAGAGAGCAGTAGTATACAGTGTGTCTGAAAATAGAAACAGTGAGCTGAAGAAGCTGTTTGTCCCTTAGATCACTTCCCCTTTCCCCAGCTTCATGTAGTCATTTACTACCCTCCTCAACTCAGGTAGTAGATTGAAGGTTTACTCTGGAAAGTTTAAGCTATAGAGACTCTAGCCAGCTAAAGACATACCAAAAATAGATTTAATGCAAAGTGAGATTACTGGCCCTTTTCATCCACTCAAGTTCAAGAATAGTGACAGAGAGGATTTTTCTCTGGGGAAGCTAACTTGCCCAAGATATTTGGGTGTCCCTTAGCAAAAGGACCAGATTTTTGCACTTTAGTTCTATAATGAAGCTTATCCCCTAGCAAGACCTGCTTTTGGATGCAGAGTTCACAGTTGGCCTTTTATACCTTATTCTTAAAACATGAACATATACAGTTAAGGATTGGAGGCACAAACAAGCATTTAAGGAAAGCCTCTACCATGAGAGAGCCCCAAAGAAACCAAAAGAAAGAATTATAGGAAACACAGTCCAGCAATTCAGGGAGCAGGACTAACGTTTTCAGAGAAAAATGAAAGTATTAATAGAATAGCATTCTATAAAAGGAACATTCAGAAACACACATCCCAAAAAAGCCTCTTATAAACTAAAATTCAGTATCCGATTGGAAAGTACAGTTGAAGACACCACTTAGAAAATACAACAGAAAGCAAAGGAACTGGACATGGAGGCACACGCCTGTAGTCCCAGTAACTTGGGAGGCTGAGGCAGAGACATTGCTCAAGCCCAAGAGTTCAAGGCTGCAGTGAGCTATCATCATGCCACTGCACTACAGCCTGAGTGAGAAAGTGCAGATGAAACTCCATCTCTAAAAAGAAAAAGAATACAGCAAGTAATATTTAAAATTTAAAAATCAAGAAATGGCCAGACATGGTGGGTCATGCCTGTAATCACAGAACTTTGGGAAGCCAAGGTGGGTGGATCACCTGAGGTCAGGAGTTTGAGACAAATTAGCCTGGCGTAGTGGTGGGCGCATGTAATCCCAGCTACTCAAGAGGCTGAGGCAGGAAAATTGCTTGAACCTGGGAGGCAGAGGTTGCAGTGAGCCTCACACCACTGTGTTCCAGCCTGGGTGACAGATTTTTGTCTCAAAAAAAAAAATTGAACATAAAAAAATAGAGAATGTATTAAGAGATCATTTAAAATTGTTCCTGTGCTCAAAAGTATTTGTCAGTTATCATAGTGCCTGAAATGCCAACATTAAAGATGTCTCTTTTTGATAGTAGCCAATCTTACAGATGTGAAGTGATAGCTCATTGTGGTTTTCATTTGCAATTCTCTGATGATTAGAAATGTTCAGCATTCTTTCATATACAGGTTGAATATCCCTTATCCACAAAAATTGTTGGGAACAGAAGTATTTCAGATTTCTGATTTTTTATTTTGGAGTATTTGCAGAATATGTACCCATTGAGCATTTCTAATCTGAAAAGCTGAAATCCAAAATGCTCCCATGAGCATTTCCTTTGAGTGTCATGTCAATGCTCAAAAGGTTTCAGATTTGGGAACATTTCAGATTTCAGATTTTCATTTTAGGAATGCTGAACCTGTATCTGTTGGCCATTTTTATGTATTTTGAGAAATGTGTCTTCAAGTCCTTTGCCCATTTTTTAGTAGGGTTATTGGTTGTTATTGAGTAGCTTGAGTTCCTTCTACCTTTTGGATATTAGTTCCTTATGGAGTGTATGATTTACAGATATTTTCTTCTAAGCTGTGGGTTGCCTCTTCACTTCACTCCATTGTTTTCCTTTGCTGTGTAGAATCTTTTTAGTGTGATGCAATTCATTTTGTCTATTTTTACTTTTATTGCCTGTGTTTTTGGGGTCATATCAAAAAAATAACTGCCCAGGCCAATGTCATGAAGCTTTCTCCTTATATTTTAGTACTTTAGTAGTTTCAGATTGTACCTTTAAGTCTTTAATCTATTTTGAGTTGATTCTTTATAAGGGGTGAGATAAGGGTTGATTTTTTCATTGTTCTACATGTGGCTATCCAGCTTTCCCAGTACCATTTATTGATGAGACTGTCCTTTCCCTATTGTGTGTTCTTGGCACCTTTGTCAGAAATCAGTTGGCCGTAGATATGTGTATTTATTTTGGGGTTTTCTATCCTATTTCATTGGTCAGTAATAACAAGGGTTGGCAAAGATGTGGAGAAGAGAGAATCCTTGTACACTGTTGGTATTGTAAATCAGTACAACCATTTTGGGAAACAATATGGAGGTTTCTCAAAAACCTAAAACTAGATTTACCATATGTTCCAGCAATCCTATTTATAGATACATACCCAAAGGAATTGAAATCGTTACATCAAACAGAGGTCCGTGTTCCCATGTTCATTGCAGCATTATGTACAATAGCCAAGATGCAGAAATAACCTAGGTGCCCATCAGTGAATGAATGGTTTTTTAAATATGCCATATATACACAATGAAAAACTAGTCAGACTTTAAGAAAAAATAAAATCTATCATTATCAGCAATGTGACTGAACCTAGAGGACATTATGTTAAATAAATAAGCCAGGCACAGAGAGACAAATACTGTATGATGTCCCTTATATGTGGAATCTAAAAAAAATCAAACTCAAGAGTAGAATTGTGGTTACCAGAAGCCGTAGAGGGTAGGAGAGTAGATGGATAAAGGGGAGACATTGGTTAATAGGTACAAAGTTTTAGTTAGATAGGAAGAATCAGTTCTGCTATTTTACAGCTTGGTGACTATAGTTAATAATAATATATTTTTTCAAATTGCTAAAAGAGAGGATTTTTTTATTTTGTTGAGACAGGATCTCACTCCGTTGACCAAGCTAGAGTTCAGTGGCATGATCACGGCTCACTGCAGCCTATACCTCTTGGGCTCAAGTGATCCTCCAATCTTAGCCTCACTAGTTACTGGGACTAAAGGCACATGCCACCACACCCAGCTAATTTTCTTTTTATTATTTTCAATAGAGACAGGATTTTCCTATGTTGCCCAGGCTGATCTCATCCTCCTCGGCTCAAGCAATCATCCCACCTCAGCCTCCCAAAGTGCTGGGATTACAAGCATGAACCACCATGCTCAGCCTAAAAGAGAGGATTTTAAATGTTCTCACCACAGATAAATGATAATGTTTGAGGTGATGGATATGCAAAAAATAAATGATAGATTTCTCATTCATACCAGGATGTATTACTACTTTGTAATAAAGCGGAGCTGAGTATTTAAAAATATTTATCAGAGATCATTCCTCTGAAGAAAGATGGACAAAGTTTCACACCTCTTAGATGATTCAAATAAGAAGACATATTCTCAGCCATTTGCTATCATTAAATAGGATATGTCATTAAAAATAAATATACTACAATCAGGTAGGGTCTCCTTAACTCTATAGAAGAACATCTAAACAATCAAATACAAGAGGGAACTTCATTTCTCTATATATTCACACAAGTATTTTGTGCCCACCTGGTGCCAGGCACTGTCCTAGGTGCTGGAGTTTCAATGATGAAGGCCTTGCCTTCATGAAGCTTATGTTGCCATACTCTTAGTTTCCGAATACAGGACCCCTAGGAAACTGGGGGAAAAAAATTCAGTTAAAAAATAAAGACAAATTAATGTACATTGACATATTTTACTTAAGATGTTTACGGGGGTTTTTTGTAAACAACTAGGATTGAAAATTATATTTTGGCAGTGAAGAGACAGAAATTTCTTGAATCACAGTTCCATAAGAGATGAATGGGAAAAGGATGAAAAGAACAGGTGACCAAATTTAGACTTAACATCAAAAGGATGAAGAGCAAAAGTCAGAACTTTTAGATGGCAGAAAGAAAGCATGAGAATTCATACCTGATCTCACTTTTTTCAGTGAGGCAAGAATAAAGATCATCTGAACATAACAAAGGCAAGTGGGGGCTGGTTATCAGGGACTTGACGAGAGTTGTACGTTTTAAAATAAACACTAGGAAACAGAGGAAATGAGTCATCTATAGGATTACTGTGCCCTATTAGTGATTGTGGCCAGCTATCCTTGGAAATAACTTTGTAACAGGATCATAATTATAAGATTCTTACCTCCAGTGTCCAGCAACCTGGAAGCAGAACAGAGAAAACAGTTTGACTTAGAGAAGATTAACAAGTAAGGCTAAGATGAGAAGAGGTAAAAGGGTGATGGAGCAAAGGATGGTGTTGAGTACAGTCATTGAAATGATTGACCTTGGAATCCAGGCCACGTTGGGAAGTAAGATAAATTAAGGGGAGACCAGTAGCCTAGGTTAGGACTAATAGAAGCTGAGAACTTGGAGGTTATGATAAATGTGAAAAGCAAATGTAATGGGAACACAGGCGTAAATAGTCTGGAAGCATCAAGTAGAGCCATTGTAGATGGTAAGGTGTGAGATGTAGCATATAAAACAGAAATGGAAGATGAAATTTACAACCGTAGTTATCAGCCTTGAACGGAAGCTTTATTTCTGGTAACTTCACCAGACAGTATAAAATAGCCATACAAGGCCAGGGGCAGTGGCTCATGCCTATAATCCCAGCACTTTGGGAGGCTGAGGCAGGTGGATCACGAGGTCAAGAGATCGAGACCATCCTGGTCAACAAGGTGAAACCCCATCTCTACTAAAAATACAAAAATTAGCTGGGCATGGTGGTGCGCGCCTGTAGTCCCAGCTACTCGGGAGGCTGAGGCAGGAGAATTGCCTGAACCCAGGAGGCAGAGGATGTGGTGAGCCAAGATTGTGCCATTGCACTCCAGTCTGGTTAACAACAGCGAAACGCTCAAAAAAAAAAAAATAGCCATACAAGACTAAGACTGACATTTAATTATGACTCAGGCTTAGGTGGAACCTAAGCCTAACCTTGCTTATTCTTACCCTTTCTCACAGGAATTCACAATGAACAACTATTTTTCTGTTGGACCTGATGCTCTCATGGCTCTCAATTTTCATGCTCATCGTGAGAAGGCACCATCTCTGTTTTCTAGCAGAATTCTTAATAAGGTGTGTTGGATAAAATAACATTTCCTGCTTATCATCGAAGGTACAGTAAAAATCAATAGTTCAATTATATTTAGCACTCTTAGATTCAGATTGAACTAACTTACAGAAATATTTACCTGCTCTGTTTTGTGTAGGACTGTCAAATCAGATCTTTTTTATTAATTAGATCTTTAAATGGATTTTATCAGCCCGGGCACAGTGGCTCCCGCCTGTAATTCTAGCACTTTGGGAGGCGGAGGCAGGTGGATCACTTGAGGTCAGGAGTTTGAGACCAGCCTGGCCAACATGGTGAAACCCCGTCTCTACTAAAAATACAAAATTAGCCAGGTGTGGTGGCAGGTGCCTATAATCCCAGCCACTTGGGAGGCTGAGGCAGGAGAATCCTTTGAAATCGGGAGGCAAAGGTTGCAGTGAGCTGAGATCACACCACTGCATTCCAGCCTGGGCAACAGAATGAAACTCCATCTCAAAAAACAAAAAAACTTTATCAATGTATTTTATAACTCTAACAAATTTTGAAAATTCAAATTTGGGATGCTTTATAGTATATTTTGCTTAGATAGTAACTAAATGGAGTATGTGTTAGCTTATCTTAAATGGCAGCTAAAATTGGAAGGAAATTTTAGGCAGAATAAATTTTTGATAAAGTAATTAATGGAAAAGATTTCATTGGTTTGAAAAACCTCCAAAAGGCAGATGAGATAAAGAAAGGAGCAGTTTGTTTGCCCCAGCTTTGAACTAAGGTCATCTCTGGTTTCCAGTACAGTTGATTCCCTTGCTGGAGTTTTGCTTAGGAATTTTTTTAATGACATTTGATGATTGACCAACAGGATACCAAAAATAAATGCAAAGCAATTGTATTCCTGGTTCTGTTTTACAAGTATTTCAAATTTTAAAATAACTTCCTTTTATTAATATAGTTACTAATGTAATAAGTATTGCTATTTAGTCAATTGATAATTAACTTATCTCAGTGCTTATATCAACCTTTCTGTATTCAAAAGTGATTTTGTATTCAAAAGTGATTAGAAAAATGTTTGCTGGATTAATCTGCATTTCTACTGTCCTTAAGTAATCTGAAGTACTAAGAAAAATGGAATTGTCTAATTCAAATATATTTCTTTATCAAATACATTTTTGATAAATTGGGTGAAAACACCATTTAGAAAAAAATCACTTCTATCCCACATTTCCCCTGAGAAAGAAGCTAATTAACCCAAATGGAATGGCCTGTATTGTCATCTTCCAAAAAGAAGGATGAGTAGCATCTCATCTACTGTACCAGAGTTCACCTAGAAATTTTAAACTATTAATAGCATAAGAGAATAAAATGTAAAATAACTAATGATGCCAAAAGTATCTGTAATATGTTAAAGGCATTTGTACATTGTTTTTTAATTATATATTACCATTGCTGCTCCTCATGGTTTCCAATTTTACCCTTTAAAATTACTAGAATGGAGGTGTTGGTTAGGGCCAGAGGTTGCACACCAAAAGTATCCCTTTTCAGTTGCCCTTCTTTTCATCAGCATCTAGTCCACGTAAGGAAAATGTGCTTCATTCAACATTCTTATCAGGCAGCTTTGATACAGTGGTTTTTTTCTTAATGTTTAAAGGGTTAGATTATTTTAATATCATATTTTCTGTCTGTTTTTCATAGGCAGTTTACTTATTCTATGGAACCAAAGATTGTTTAGTACAAGAATGTAAAGATTTGAATAAAAAAGTTGAGGTAAGCTACTAACACTTTTTTAAAAGTTTTAGGTGGTCTCTGAATTATGAAGATTTTTAAAACAGAAATGCTAAACTTTTTGTTAATACATTTTGTCAGCATATATATAGATTTATTTGTGTGCCAGGCACTTTGCTACATGCTTTATACACATTGTCCCTCTAAATTCTCACCACAATTCTATTAAGGCATGTATTGTATTCATATTATACAGAAAATAAAACTATTTTAAATGAATTTGCCCAGATTCTCTAATTTAATGCCTAAATGCACATGTAATCAGGACGTGAACTCAGATTTATGTAAATCCAGAGTCTGTTTAACTATTAGGGTGAATGGCCTCCATTCATACATGATAAATAATTTACAGTTATCTAATACCGTGCCTGACTCAACATAAAGTCGCAGAGGAAGTTTAAATGAAAAGTTTAATTCAGATTACTTTTGTGGGGTATCTCTCTTACATACCAAAATAAAAATGTATAAGTGGTAAAAACAAAATATTAATGATTGCTTATTGTGACAGCATCTCTGACATGATATGGCAGTCTTATATGTATTCCTTGCTTGATTCCAGAAGGAATCTGTAATGGTTAATAGCAACAACAAAAACATTAATTCAGAGAAACCTAGAAATAATAAAATAAATAAAAAGAGATCATAAACAGCTTGGGAAAAGAGACAATGAGCAGAGAGTAAGGAGCCTGATTATACATTAGCCAAGGGAAAATGTTGCTGTTAGGCATAATGTTTAGCTCAAAGCCTATGGGTAGCCATGGCGTAAAAGAACAAGATTGTCTGTTAAAAAGAGGATCATAGCCGGGTGCAGTGACTCACACCTGTAATCCTAGCACTTTGGGAAGCTGAGGTGGGGCAGACAGCCTGCGCTCAGGAGTTCAAGACCAGCCTGGGCAACATGGTAAAACCCCGTCTCTACCAAAATACAAAAAGTTAGCCTAGCATGGTGGTGTATGCCTGTAATCCCAGCTACTTGGGAGGCTGAGGCAAGAGAATTGCTTGAAGCTGGGAGGCAGAGGTTACAGTGAGCCAAAATCATGCCACTGCACATCCAGCCTGGGTGACAGAGCAAGACTCCATCTCCAAAAAAAAAAGGGTGTTATGTTACTTTATCATATTTCCTGTTTCCTGGGCTTTGATAATATTAGTAAAGCATACGAGCATATAAAATACCTTATTTTATTGTATGACATTTTATTTATAGAAAAATACAAATTATTTTTACTTATACGGAAACAAAATTTTATGTATATACCTACAAAATAGTCACTGTCCTCGATACTGGAGGCACAGTGATAAATCCCTTGCTCTACATTTACACTCTAGGGTGAAGAGAGATATTTAAACCAGTCTGGGCAGAGTGGCTCACACCTTTAATCCCAGCATTTTGGGAGGCCAAGGTGAGAGGATTGCTTGAGGCAAAGAGACTAGCCTGGCAACATAGCGAGACCTCATGTCTACAAAAAAATTAAAATAGCTGAGCATAGTGGCATGCAGTTGTGGCCATAATTGCTCAGGAGGCTGAGGCAGGAGTATCACTTAAAACTAGCAGGTGGATGCTACGGTAAAACATGATTATACCACTGCACTCCAGCCTGGGTGACAGATTGAGACCCTGTCTCCAATAAAAAGCAGAAAAGATACTTAAAACACATTGCAGTACAGTATGAGAAGTGATAATAAAAGCATGTGGTCTTAGAGGAATAAACGAGCAATACGTAACCTAGGAGCTACAGAGACTAGGGAAAGCGGCAGTATAAGCAAGTCTTTCTGAAAGAAGTGACAAGCTGGAATCTGAAAATAAGTAAGAGTTAGCTAAGAGAAGGAGGAGGGGAAGATTGGTGTAGGCTAAAAACAGCATGTGCAAAAGGCCCAGAGGCGCACGTGGCATATTTGAGTGAGTTCAAGCTGCAGCATAGCTTTCAGGAAGGAAAGTGACAAAAGCTGAGGCTAGAGAGATGGACAGATGTCAAGTCAGTGTCATATTTGCCTGGTATTGGAGCTTGGATTTCATCATGGGCATTGTAGGGTTGAAGTGAAGCCATTGAAGGGTTGTAATTAGAGGATGACATATTTGCATTTTTTAAGTGTCAAATAAAATGCTCTGTCAGGGATGCATAGGAGAGTAAAGTTAGAGGCACATAGACCAGATAGGAACATTTTAGGGAAGAAATGGTGGAGAGAAAGACTGAAATAGCATCAGCTGTTTTTAGTGATTAAGTGAATGTAGAGGGTAAATTCAAAGAAACCAAAGATAACTCCCAGGTTTCTGGCTTAAACAGTTGGGTTGGGGGGGGGGATGAGTAACCTACTTACCAGGAAAGAGTAAGTAAGAGTTAGCTAAGAGAAGGAGGAGGGGAAGACTGTTACTCTTTCCTGGTAAGTACGTTGGGGAACAGAGAGCGAATTGCAGAACAAGTTGCTTGATCAGTTTTTTACATAGGAGTTTTTAGTGCCAGTCCGTGGACATGTTTTGTAGGCAGTGGACAGATGGATCTGGCCCAGTTTACTTTCCTGAGAAGGAACATCCAGGGAAGCAGAGTCTGTGGTTTCCAGGAAGCAAAGGGAAGAAGATTTTAGGAAAAGAGGAAGGGAGTCAACAAGTGTCAGGTGCTACTGAAACAGCAAGTTAGATAAGGCCTAAAAAATCATGGGGTTCAACAGAAAGGACATTATCGATGGTGTTAATAGAAGCAGTTCCACTGGGGAGATAGAAAAGGCCAAATGAGAGGCCCTGAGTGAGAGGTAGGGAGTGTCTTCTACATGTGCATCCCTCACACATAAGCACATTTTAAAAATGGATGTGAATTCTAAATAGATATGTATGGAAATAGTGTGCCCTGTAGTCACTATCTATTTGTATTTCTTTAAAGCTAGAACTGGATGGTGAGCGAGTAGCACTGCCCAACTTGGAAGGTATTATAGTTCTGAACATTGGATACTGGGGCGGTGGCTGCAGACTATGGGAAGGGATGGGGGACGAGACTTACCCTTTAGCCAGGTATGTACATTTGTAGTCTGTTTTTTCATGTCACTATTTTATTTAAAGCCATCTCTTGTTTATAGACTTTAACATTTTTCCTCAAATTTTCTTTTTTGTATATCTCATTAGTTATAAATATTTTAAAGTTGATGGTCCAACTGCACTAAAAAGCAATTGCTCTAGCATAACTGATTTTATTTTATTGTATCATTATAATCCATATTTTCTTTTTCCAATTTTAGGCATGATGATGGTCTACTGGAAGTTGTTGGAGTATATGGGTCTTTCCACTGTGCTCAGATTCAAGTGAAACTGGCGAATCCTTTTCGAATAGGACAGGCACATACAGTGAGGGTAGGTGAAAAATATAGCTGTAACAGGCTAATTTGTCCCAGTCCATTTCTAAGCTGTTGATATGTAAAGTATACATGCTATACCTTTCTTTAAACAGTGGTTTATGGCTATTACAGCTGGTCACTCTACACCAGGGGCTTGAGTGGGATGAGGAAGAAACAGAAATACGGCTCAAGATCCATGAGATAAAACATTCACTTGAAAAACAAATTCCTTAAACAATGAATGAATAAAAACATATTCAGATTAATATTTTCTAAAAATGAAATGCATAAGGGCTAAGGGATTGTAGATGGTATTATTAAGGAAGACCTTTCTAAATGTTGGGGGACTGACTTTTAAACATTATTTGTTCCCTAATATCAGCTGATTTTGAAGTGCTCCATGATGCCAATGCAGGTGGATGGAGAGCCTTGGGCCCAAGGGCCCTGCACTGTCACCATAACTCACAAGACACATGCAATGATGTTATATTTCTCTGGAGAACAAACAGATGATGACATCTCTAGTACTTCGGATCAAGAAGACATAAAGGAGACTGAATAGATGGATGAGGGAGTAAAAACTGCATAGAATCCTGAAAGCAAAGTAGATACATGTTCATCCAAAAGTATTACCAGAATCTCTATCAGCATTCAGTCTTAATTTCGCTAGTAATATAATGGGTATACATTTTGTAAATAGCATCCCCAAACCAGCCAGATTCCAGTTATTTAAAAATGTTTATTCTTGGGGGCCAAAGTGGCTCCCGCCAGAGGTCATGGCACTTGTGAAGGCGAGGTCATGAGTTCAAGGCTAACCTGAGCAACCTCATAAGCTCCAACTGATTGGCAAAAAAAAAAAAAAAGTTTATTCTTTTTCAGCAAAATACTTCAAATGAATAGTATTAACTTTTGAAAAGTCATAAAAAGTTATATGAAACAGAAAATTTTTTATGACTGTTTTGAGAGTGGGACTGACTCTGAAGTATGTGCTGTCTCTTATTTTTGAACCATGCATTTGATGAACACACATTGGACGGACATATGTCTCCAACAAGGTGTGGGTGGAAAGATCATTTCCATCTTCATTTTGAAGATGGTGACACCATCACATTTTAAAGCTTAACTTGATTTTTTAGAGAGGAAATGATTACTGTCAAACCAGCATGGTTAATTGTGGGCATCCTCCTGCAGCATGCCTCTTAGGATTCTTTGCAACCCAGACCAAGTGTGTGTATTGATTTCTAGGAACCCTCAAAAGGAGAACAGGAAACAGAAATAATACTTAAAATTTTCATTATAATTTTTATTTTAGGAAGATATTCAGACACCTAAATGTTGTTTAACTCTGTAGGTAACCATTTGAGTTGAAATTCAGGATCTATTTAGTGTAGCCAAAAGAGAAATAGATAAATTAACTGGTAAGAAATAAGATTCAGAACACTTTGGATTGTAAGTTCTAGGTTCTGAGCTGAACAGTTCATCAACTTCTCTCTTTTTTTTTTTTTTTTCTGAGACGGAGTTTCGCTCTTGTTACCCAGGCTGGAGTGCAATGGTGTGATCTCGGCTCACCGCAACCTCTGCCTCCTGGATTCAAGCAATTCTCCTGCCTCGGCCTCCCGAGTAGCTGGGATTACAGGCACACGCCACCATGCCCAGCTAATTTTTTTTTGTTTTTAGTAGAGACGGGGTTTCACAATGTTGACCAGGATGGTCTCGATCTCTGAACCTCGTGATCCATCCACCTCGGCCTCCCACAGTGCTGGGATTACAGGCATGAGCCACCGCGCCCGGCCAACTTCTCTTTTTATTAAAAGACAGTGTCAACACTTGAAAAAATGTGCTTAAAGAAAACTTATCAGTGAGATTAATTGCTTAGGAAAAGCTCAAGACTGACAAGTTTTAAAAATTCATTGGTCTTGTAGTATTTTCAAACACGGTAGTCTTTTAACAGAATTTCCCTTTCGGATGGTAAGTGGATAGAAATCTCTGCTAAAATGTTTATATCATATTTATTTTAAAATGAGAGATATATTTTTAAAGTATTTATTATTTACCTTGTAGTATGATACCTGTGTTTTTAGTGTTTACATTCCATAGCTTGATTTAGTAAGTTAAATTGATCACATAAATTATGCTTGTCACAATCAGATAGAAATTTAGCCAATTAAGTAATAAAAATCCTAATTTAATTCTCCTGACAGATATCTAGATATTCTCATTCTTCACAAATATTCCTCATTGTTTTGAGAAAAGGAGGAGGGCATAAAAACCCCTAGGGAGCTACTTTTAGATAACTGAAAACTTTGTTTCATTGTTTCATTTGCCCCTCAATTGCCACAAACTTACTGAAGGGCTAGTTTCATGGTTCCCATTAGAGGGTGCTCTTTCACTGCTGTTGACCAGTCCATCCCTTCATGTCCCATGGGTAGGCAGTCCCAGTGGGCATCCAGCCTGGCGTTTTTCTGACAGATGGCCCATTTGTAGGCTTTGTGGTCTTTAATGACAGTAATCTCTGAAAGATCAGAATGTATCCCCCAAAGCACCACTAGCTGTCTTTGAGGATCTGTTATGAATCTGTCATCTGTGAATTGCCGTAAACCTAAGTTTGCCTCACTTTAGGCCCAGATCATGTTTTCAGAGAGCACCTTAGTAATGTATACAGTAGTCAGTATGTTTTATGAAATACTTTATTTTGCTAAATTAACCTCTTCCAGATCTCAATGGGTGATCTTAAATTCTAGTCTTGAGAAACTTTGTGAGCAGGTCTGTTTTGAGCTTATTTATACCTACCTTTCATGGTAGGTAACCATGGCAGTGGAGATGGCAGAGTTTTTGGGTTTTTTTAATGGGCCAATCATGTTCTGAGTGTTATGAAGTTTATTCTTTCATTCATGTTCACAATTGTTAAAGTTATCACACTTTATAAATACACTGTTAAATTCACTTTGCTGTAGGTGATAGTTTACCTGCTATATAATTCATAATGCTAATTGTAGAAGCAAAGTAAATAATCAGTTTAGGATGTTGAAATTAAAATAATCACAATAACTAATATAGTTTCTTTTAATTGCTAAAACTACAATTAAAAATTATAATTTTAACATTAGCCATAATGTTACACTGTATTTAGAACAGGCTTATATACAATGCCCTCATTTATTTAAACAAATTGAATTTTTGGTTATCATAATCTAGTAATGTTTTTGCACCACTATTGATTGTGATGGAGTTTTTCTGCTGGCTTACTGACTCATTTAGACTTCATTTAGGGAAGCTATTTCAGAATAGCATATCATAAAACATATCACTATCTTGTTTTTGCAAAATTACTTTTTTGGGCACATTGACCCAGCATTTCAAATAAATGTATAGGCATGTGCCTTGTTTAAATAAGTACAGTTTGTAAGACTTCCTGTTTGCAAGTTACATATTAGAGTAGTGATTGTTTATATTACAGGGATTCTATACTTTACCAAAAAAATTGCCATAAGATTTTCCTGTTCCATTTTAAATTGTCTTGATATTTAAAAAAATAACTTCTACATTCTCAGGAAGAAATACATGAACTAAATCATATCTCCATGTCTGTTTCCAGATTTCTCTCATCTTTTTACTATCCCAATACATTCCTAACTCCTATAAACTTAGTGGCTTAAATACTGAATACCTGGCAGCTCTTATAGATCCCATAGGCAGATGATGATCATTTTCAGTGCTTTGTCATGTTGAATAGAAATCAAACTGACTTGTGTTTTAAACTACAAGTTGTCTACCAGTAAGATTACATGATTTAAATGTGTTTTAGGTTTTTAGCAACAAATTAGCTGTGAACCCCTAATGTAGCTAATGTTTATACAAATTTTATAGTCAAAATTACTTGTTTTTATTTTTTTAGAGTGTTTCAAAAATACAGTGTTTGCTTTGTTAAATACATTTGCTTAGAGTCATAAAGTGTACTGTGACTCAGAAATTGTAAAGTCCATTTGCATTGTAAAAATGAGTACTACCAGCATGTCAGAAGAAAAATAATTTGCATTTGTAATATAAACTAAAATTGTATTTAATGTATTTATTGAATTTTAAATTTGCACTAACTTGAAAACTTTAAAGGTTATACTAATTTACAGATTATTGTGGACTCAAATACGTAACTTGTTTGGCCAAAAAGGTCATTAGAATGGGTAATAGTTTGTGTGGTTTTCCTTCAAAATGGTAATATTGAGGCAAGAACCAGTGTTTTATATTGAGAATTTTTTTAGTATTTCCACCCGGTTGAGGACAGTGGAATATAAGTAGATTTATTTAAAATATGTAGATATTTAAAATTTTTTAATGTTGTTTATCCCTATCTGAATTCATTCTCAGCAACAAGACAGAAAAGGTGGTTTAGGTTTTTTTTAAAAAAGTGTGCCCTTGCCTTTTTCAATTTTTCCCTTGAAGCCTTTCTCCTCCTGTTTCTCGGAGTACACTTTACAGGAGTATGCGCTGCAGGAGTATGCTCTACGGCATCAGAATGCATGGACAGGCTGTTGAAAGTATGGATTCCTGAGCCCAACCCTTGACTTAAAGATTCCCTGTCTCTGGAGATGCAACATAGAAACCTCTGTTTTCATTCACAAGCACCTCAGGCGATTCTTAGGCATACTGAAATTTGAAAGCTTCTGGTCTGAACCTCACATATTCACCTAGGGCTTTCGCCAGGTGGGATACCATGCCAAAAAAATTGAATTAATTGTATGTTCTTAAAATTGTTTTTCTTCTACTCCACTGTCCCCAAAATCACTTTTCTAAAAGAACTCTATGAAAAACTTGTTTGTATCCTACCCAAATTGATATGTTTGAACTCTGTTACATAAAAATTGGTATGATTCGTACATGGGATCAGTTTTTGGACTGCGACCCATGCAGTATTTTTGTTTGTTTGTTTGTTTGTTTGTTTGTTTGTTTGTTTTCCGTGCAGTGTTGAAGGACAAGGAGTTACTTCAGGAGCTAGTGCAATGCGCCTCCAAGGGGCAGCGAGCCATGGAGGCTCCTGCCTTCTCACTTCAGTCAGTGTAGCCACACTTGTGTATACTGAGTTGCTGCTTCAGATCTCAGTAGATAAAATAATTCCACATTTAAAATGCTTCTATTTTTTAAAAAGGGTTTGAAAGCCACTACTATAGTGGCTGTCACCTAATTGATTTTCTACTAATTTTTATATATTCAGAAACTTCATGGTTTTTTTGATGGACAGAATATTTTGGAGGTCTCCATTGCTGCTTAGAATGTGGCCACTTGGCTATTTCACCGTTTTTAAAGCTATTTTATTGAATAGTAAAGCACTGAACTTAGCCTTCATTCCTTGTTTCTAATTTAAGTATATTATCTGTGTATTTAGTTAATTTTAGATGTGTAAATGTGCATACACATACATACCTATCTATTTACCTACCTGGCCCTGACTGTGTAGTCAGTACATGAGGCTTGCAGATCCCGAAAAGGTACATTCCAGGGTTCTATGGAAATAATTTTAAAATGTCATCCTCTAATACAGACATTTACAAAACTTAAATGCAAATGGTTGTACTTAACCATCTGCGAGAATGTCTGCAGAAAATAAATCACCTAGAAACTATAAATAGAAATGTATTGCTGAGGCCCGGCACAGTGGCTCATGGCTGTAATCCCAGCATTTGGGGAGGCCGAGGCAGGCAGATCACCTGAGGTCAGGAGTTGGAGACCAGCCTGGCCAACGTGGTGAAACCGCATCTCTACTAAAAATAAAAATAAAAAAATTAGCCGGGCACAGTGGCACATGCCTGTAGTCCCAGCTATTCAGGAGGCTGAGGCACGAGAATCGCTTTAACCCTGGTGGCAGAGGTTGCAGTGAGTCGAGATCGCACCACTGTACTCCAGCCTGGGCGACAGAGCGAAATTCTGTCTCAATTTAAAAAAAAAATGTGTTGCTGGTATCAGACATCAGACCAAGCACACTTCAGTCTCTCTAAGGATGCCCTGAGCTACCTCACTATTAAAGGACAACATAAACACAGAATTCACTAAACAGGAAATAGAATGTAATCTAGAGAATTTCCCTTACTTGTTACTTTTTAGTGACTAACATGGAATGTCGAAAAGGAAGAGCTGGAAAGCTAAGTTGTTTTCCTTGTTCCTCTGACATTGTCCAGGCAAGAGGGCATCCTGATCAGATGAGTAGGTTTGGCTGAGAAAAACCCTAAAGTAAGGCAGGCACTTTGTGGAGTTGGATGATGATGGCTCTTAAGAACACTTGTTCTCAATCCAGTTCAGGGCTCTGCCAGCAGTCTTTCAGATTTGAACTGCTTAAATGAACCCTACAGATAAATTGGCACTCTCCTTTGTAATTCTGTTTGTATAAGTTTAGAGCAGCCTAGCTCGAGTCCTCAACCCCAGTCCTCTTAGAAGTGAACTGACTGCAGTGGATCCCTAAGCCCACAGTGCTGAGGGCACATGTGATAACTCCACTTGCGCAGCCAGCTGGCCCCTTGTACTTTCCCCTGCCCACCACAGTCCTGTGTACCTACCACTTACTTACCCTGTGTCAATTTGTTGTGTTGGGTCTGTGTTTTTGTGGTCAGTGCCTGAAGGCACAAATGTGAATTAAAGCATTTGATATGTTGAAAATACTTGCTTGTTTTTTAATAAAATTAAAAGTACAGCAGTACAGCACTTAAGTATGATACTGTGTTCTTTTTTGACACAACCACAAGAAAAAAATAAGCAGCTTTGACTTAATGTCCCAGAAAATGGTTCTTGGTCTACGTCAGGCAAACATATTACGTGGCAAGTTTGGAGTCACATACTTTTGGACAGAAAGAATAAAAAATTCATATTGCATGGCCTTTGTAGCCTAAGAGCACAGAATAATACAAATGAATGTTAGGAGAAACATTCATTCTCACGCATATAAACTGGCTCCTGGCAGAGTAGAGCAGTAAATGGGATTAAATAGTTGAATTCACCTTATTTTCAGTTGGTAGAATATGGAAAAATACAGAATTTATTTGAAACATCTGAATTGGAAACCCAGCTTCCACCACCGTAATTTAACACTGGGCAATTACTTGTTCATCCTGAACCTCAAATTTTCTTTAAGCGTAGGAATTAATGGCCACCTAGGGGTTGCACGTGCTTATAGGAGCTAGGCAAGTGATAAAGGGAAGAGCTGTGGAGACTTTGGTAAACCAGAGCCAGAGCACATGATTGCTGGGAAGCAGGCCTAGTGTGAACAGAATTTATTTTTCTAGAAAAGATAGAAATTTAGAGTATATGAAATCTGATTTTTAAGTATTGGTTTGCAACTAATTATTGCCTACCATAACATGACATGATTATTATTAGATTGGGAGAGTGAATGCATCTTAATATACATGGCAGAACTGTGTATTTCCTTCCATCTGGGTTTCCATAAAAAATCACTTTGTGATTTATCAGTAACAATATAAAAACACATTTTGTGGCATGTAACATCTTTTATTTGTTTTATTAGGCATTAGAGGAAGATTCTGTAGTCCTGCTTTATTCTGTCATCTTTACCTGGAAATCCATTTTTATAAAATTTTTGTAATAAAAATTCACTTGATCACTAGCCTGCTTTCTTTTAAACAGACAGTGCCAAGCATCATGCCCCTTTTCTTGATAATTTACATGCATGAGAATATGGCTGTGTTAACTGCTGAAGTTCACAAGGCAGGCTGTCTTACCCGTAATGATTCCATGTTTGGACTTCTTAAACAGCTTCTTACATTTGTACACTGAAATGTTACATGCTTTTACTTTTTGTGTTATAATCTGTATTTATGTGAGGTAGACATTATCGGCTCCATTTCATACACTGAGAACTCAGAGCTACAGACTGAACCCAGGTCATCCTCCCTACTGCCTTTCATCATGAACACAGCCACCAACAACAGTATTTTTTAAAGTGTTAAATATTGGCAGATGTGTCATTGTTCTGAGCACTAGGAATGTTAGTGCGGCCCTCTGAGGGATTCCCTGTGCAAGAAAACATCACATACCAAAAAATTACTCATGGAAGGAATTTGGAGATCTTGGTGAGCTGAAAGTATTACACATGGACTATTGGGGAAAAAAAGCAGGCACGATAAAATTTTAGAATGTATTTGAGTAAGAAGCAATTAGTGAATTAGGAAACACGAAACCCAGTGAGGATTTAGTGTTTCGATGACAACATCAGAGGCAAGTATTTGTAGAGTAGATACAGAAGCAAAATTAAGAAATGATTTCATTGGTTCCCTTTTTTGGCTTACTTTGTTGGGAAGTCCCCAGTCTCATGATCATATTAGTTGGCTGTTTCTGATTGGCTGAGGTTAAGTTTTGTTTCTAACAAGCATTTACCATAAATGTCCCAAGTTAAGTTTCATTTATGTTTACAGTGTCAATAGGTTAGGGCTATTGTTAAGGCCTAATTGGTTTATTTGCTGAGAAACGTTTGAAGCCTAGTTTTCATTTTAATTTTGCTTTGGCAGTTCCCTGCTTTTAGTCACCCTGTCAGCAAGCTGAGAAGGTGACCAAATGGCGTAGCATTACTCTCAGTTATCACTACTGACACAGTCTGGGAAGAAGAGTCAGATGTTATCAGTAGTGGCGCTAGGGCTCGGAGTCACCCTCAGCGTGACAGTCCATGCTGGTTTCCTCCAATTGTCTGATCCTTATGGCAGTCTTTTGACATAAAAGTGACTGCTGGAAAGCATTTAATGTCCTTGAAAAGACCAGGCTCTGTGGATAACACCTGTAATCCCAGAACTCTGGAGGGCAAAGTAGAATTGCATGAACAGGAGTTCAAGACCAGGTGAACAATGTAACAAGACCCCATGTCTACAAAAAAAGGCATATTTTTAGTGACCTGGGCAGGGCTGGGTATGGAGGCTCACACCTATAATCCCAGCACTGTGGGAGGCCAAGGCAGATGGGTTGTTAGAGCTCAGGAGTTCCAGACCAGCCTAAGCAACATAATGAAACCCGTCTCTACCAAAAATAACAAAAAATTAGCCAGGCATGGTGGCACACACCTCTGGTCCCAGCTACGCAAGAGGCTGAGGTAGGATCACTTGGGCCTGAGAGGCAGAAGTTGCAGTGAGCCGCAATTGTGCCACAGCACTCCAACGTTGGTGACAGAGACCCCATCCCAAAAAAATATAAGTTAGCTGGGCAGTGCTTACTACAGCAGCACATATACTAAAATTAGAACAATACAGAGAAGATTAGCATGTCCCCTGAAGAAGGATAGCATGCAAATTCGTGAAATCTTCCATATTATAAAAGCAAGCCGTACCCTGGTCACCTTGGGTACATGTCATCAAGACCTCCTGAGGACATGTCATGGGCACATCCTTAATCTTGGTAAAATAAACTTTCTAAGTTGGGAGAAAAAAAATTAGCTGAGAATGGTGGCACACACCTGTAATCCCAGCTACTCAGGAGACTGAGGTGGGAGGATCACTTTAGCTCAGAAGTTCCAAGTCCAGTGAACTATGATTGCACCACTGCACTCCTGCCTTGGTGACAGAGGAAGACATTGTCGCTAAAAAAAATAAATTTTAAAAAGTACTGAGAGAATACAATGTACTGTGTTGTTGGGTAAGCCATTGTATATGGGCACCCACTGTGTATAGGTGAACACAATAACTACGAGGAGAATAATAGCAAAGGATCAAAAAATACCCCAAGAAAAGATTCCCAGGAGCCAAGATTTAACCAACTGAAATATCAAGGGAGGCAGTGCTAATGAAATAAGAACCTTGTATTCTTGAGAGTCCTTTAAATTTTGGGCAACAATATCAAATATAACAAAACACTATTAGGTTTTGTTAACATAAAAACACCACTTCTCACCAATTCAAGCACAAGCTCCTCACTGCTGAGCAGCTAAAGTGTCAATAACTCCTATCTTGGGGTACTGCTAAGGTGAAATTATCTCACATTGTACTGCTTGAAGAAAATTCACAAATATCACTAAAACTTTTCAAGAGTTGCTGAAATATTGATAAGTAATTTTTTCAATTCAGAGACTCCAAGCTGAGGAAAAAGCTCTTACAAAAGAATGCAATCTGCAACCCCATTGTATGATTGGGTTTGGAAGATCACTCAGGAGGCTCGTTTCTGAGGTTCAGAATTTGATTAACATTTGAAGAGTCATCTGGTCATTTTAGGTAGGACATAGCCCAAACGTTCAAGTCATTTAGGTGGAAAAACCTTTATACATTTGCCATTCAAGATGAATAATCTGGCGGAGCGCAGTGGCTCACGCCTATAATCCCAACACAACGGGAGGCCGAGGCGGGCGGATCACCTGAGGTCAGGAGTTTGAGACCAGCCTGGCCAACATGGTGAAACCCCATCTCCACTAAAAATATAAAAAAGTTAGCTAGGCATGGTGGCAGGCACCTGTAATCCCAGCCACTTGAGGCTGAGGCAGGAGAATCGCTTGAACTCGGGAGGTGGAGGTTTCAGTGAGCCAAGATCACGCCACTACACTCCAGCCTGGTCAGCAAGAGTGAAACTCCATCTCAAAAAAAGAGAACAATCCAGTATTATTGAGAAAAAGGTGCAAAGTGAATCTCATTATCCACCAGTTGGGGTGACAGGAATGCCATAGTGATTCTTCGTCATATCTGCATTTGCTCATTGCCAGGTCGAATGGTTATGGTTTAAATTTGGAGTTGGAGGCTGGGTGCAGTGACTTACACCTGTCATCCTAGCACAGGTGGGCTGATCACTAGGGAGGCAGGGCAGATCACGAGGCCAGGAGTTCAAAACCAGCCTGGCCAACATGGTGAAACCCCATCTCTACTAAAAATACAAAAATTAGCCAGGTGTGGTGGCATGCCCCTGTAGTCCCAGCTAATCAGGTGGCTGAAGTGGGAGAATCACTTGAACCTGGGAATCAGAGGTTGCAGTGAGCTGAGACCACACCATTGCACTCCAGCCTTGGTGACAGAGTGAGACTCCATCTCAAATATATATATATAAAACTGGAGTTAGAACCAAAAACAGTTCAATGTACTTGATAAAGTAACTCGTGTATGTCATCATCAACTAAGGATGATGATTGTTTCCTCTTCAAATATGCTCCGAGTATTTATCCGATAAACAAAGCTACTTATTTTCTATAGTTGAAACTATAGAGGCATTCCATTTGCTTCTAGAGTTTCCAGTGAACCAATACCTAATTTCACTGAGCTCTCTATGATACAGTTAAAGGTATCATGGTCGTGTTCTGGTGTTATAGCTGTGTCATTATATAGAGTAGTTCAATCTCCATAATCTGTGTCAAACCAAAGAGTTTGATTACAGAGGGAGTCTGGAGCACTGCTGAGATTAGTCTGAGTTTTTCTTTTCTTTTCTTTTGAGACAGAGTCTCAGTCTGTTGCCCAGGCTGGAGTTAAGTGGCACAAACATGGCTCACTGCAACCTCTACCTCCAGGACTTAAGTGATCCTCCTACCTTAGCTTCCCAAGTAGCTGGGGAACTGTAGGCCTGCACCACTACACCTGGCTATTTTTTGTATTTATGGTAGAGACAGGGTTTCACCATTTTTCCCAGGCTGGTCTTCAACTCCAGGACTCAAGCGATCTCGCTGTCTTGGCCTCCCAAAGTGTTGGGATTACAGGCATGAGCCAGAGCACCCAGCCTTATGGATACATTTTTCTCTAGGAATACAGAAAAATTACCAGTGATAAAATCAATAGTAGTTAGAGGCCATTCCCTTCTTCTATTGCTTCTTCCCAATGCCAAGTTTGTTGATCATGATTATCAACAAGCCTACCTACCAAGGGAAGGATACCAAACACTTTCATAAAGGCAGCTTCCTGAATTACTCACCCAAGCATGTGTAGGAGCAGGTTCTAGTATTAGTTGTGATTCTTCCCATCCATCTAGATAACTACCTATCTAGCAATGCATTGGTTAATACCATGGTTTGCATGTATTCCCTTAAATTTCATGTATTTGAAACTTAATCCCCAAATTCACAAGTTGATTAGAGGTAGGGCCTTTGGGAGGTAATCAGGAATAAATAAGGTCTGCACGATGGGCCTCCCATAATCCGACTGGTAAAAAGAGCCATAACTACATCTCATACTAAATCTTGACCATGATTCAGGTAATGGCAATGGACTCTGGACCAATGAAACCTTAAGACAACTGGAGGGAGGGAGAGATGAGACAAATAAGAACCTGTTATTTTGAGATGTCAGACATTATGTAAATGGAAACATACAAACAGAGCCGTATGATCTGGAGTTAAGTAACATTCATATTAGCAGGGCATATGATCATTTATAAAACAATTTTATATAAAGTATTCCCCATCAAAACTCAGTTGAGCAGGCAGTGTACATATAATTTTTCTAAATGACTACATTGTGATTCAGAAAGGCTAATGACATGCCAGGGCTGCACAGAGCTAGGATACCAATCTAGTCTTGTGACTCCAAAATTTAGTGGAGTTTGTTTTTCCTTTATATTTTTCCCCCACTAAGTTATGCCATCTTTTTCCTAGGTCAGGGGTTCCTAGCCTTTATTGTATCATAAGCCAACCTCTACAAGAAGTTAGCTATAGTTACAGACACTTCCCCCCTCCCCCTCACCCTAGCAGCTTGGCACATACAGCAGAATTTTGCAGCCAATGTCAAGGGCCTCTGAGACTCCAGTTAAGAACCTCTGAACCAAGGATTCTAGTCCTAGCTGAGGCGTCTCAGACATGTTTAGTATAAACTGGCAATGAGCTTGTTCTGTCTGGTTATCTTCTGCTGCCTCCAGCCATTTTCTATTCTGATTCACCCATAAGCCCACAGAGAAATCAGTAACACACAGGTTCAGAAAAGCTAGTGGTGGAGAAACATTTCCAGGAGAAAAAAAGTGGCACTTAGGCTGCTCCTCTAAGGAGATGCCATTCTGACATATTCTTGGGACATCATGTTGGACAAGCTGGCAAGGAGAACAGACTGATGCATGGCCGGGTACGGTGGCTCACACCTGTAATCCCAGCACTTTGGGAGGCCGGGGAGGGCTGATCACCTGAGGTCAGGAGTTCGAGACTAGCCTGGCCAACATGGTGATACCCTGTCTCTGCTAAAAATACAAAAATTAGCTGGGCCTGGTGGCGGGTGCCTATAATCCCAGCTACTGGGGAGGGTGAGGCAGGGAAATCACTTGAACCCAGGAGGCAGAGGTTGCTGTGAGCTGAGATCATGCCACTGCACTCCAGCCTGCGTGACAAGCAAAACTCTATCTCAAAAAAGAAGCTAAAGCATGCAGTAAGTCTGTGAACTGTGAAATTTAGGGTGCCATGTACAAAAATGGCATTTTAAGATTACTGTAGGAACAGTGTGGAAGATGAGTTGTAAGGCAGAAGGATTAGAAATGGGAAAGCTATTAGATAGAAGTAGAGGCAGAAATGAGAACGTTCACACAGGAACAATTGACAGGCCAAGATGTAGGACACCAAGAGGAAAGGGGTAAGAGCTCTCTCAAGATTTTCAGCCTTGGAAGAACAAATGTGTTCAATGAATATTTATTGTGTGCACTCTGTTGATGATAGAAGTGTGGAGGGTCAGGGTGTCAAGGCCAAAGCCGTGTTCTGAGTCAACCAGTCAATTTATAAGGAGCCACTTCAAGATTTAGACAGTTTGTTACTTACGTAGACAGCAAAAAGAATAAGCCAAAAAGTGCTTCAGCAACACAATTTTTACTTCCTGCACTGCAGGAAGGGTACTCCTGCTAGCCATCTTGCCAGAACAAAGGAAAACAGACATATTTCTCTCTTATGCATTTGGTGTCGTCCTTACTGCTGTCTGATCTCTGTTGGCTGGAGCCAGAACTCACAATCTAAACTAAAACCTGATTTGCTAACAACTTAAAACTTTTCTAAACAGGTAAAAGCAGTGGAGAGTTGGGACATGCCTGTGAACACGCCCAGCACAGATATCTTGGCTAAAGTACAAGGACATAGAATGTACTGCGTGCCTGTAAGCATGGCATGTCTAACAGCTGCATAGGATCGGGCTTAACAAAGAGTTATTGGCACACTTATAATTTATTCTTTAACAAGAAAGGAAACTTTGGGGCCGGGCTTGGTGGCTCATGCTTGTAATTCCAGCACTTTGGGAGGCTGAGGCGGGTGGATCATGAGGTCAGGAGTTCAAGACCAGCCTGGCCAAATTGGTGAAATCCTGTCTCTACTAAAAATACAAAAAATTAGCTGGGCATGGTGGCATACGCCTGTAGTCCCAGCTGCTTAGGAGGCTGAGGCAGGAGAATTGCTTGAACTAGGGAGGTGGAGGTTGCAATGAGCCAAGATTGTGCCACTGCACTCCAGGCTGGGTTACTCTGTCTCAAAAAAAAAGAAAGAAAGGAAACTGTAAAGAGGAACTTTTCTACTTCCCACAATTAAGATGATGAAGAAAGTGGGTGGACTCTTGAAGGGCAGAATGCTAAGGTGAAAATAGCTGAGATCCTAGAGAACATTCACTTTTAGAGGAGACTGGAGAGAGGATGAAATGACAAATAATCAGTAATGGAAAAGGGAAGCAAAGTTTAATGCAGGCAAAGGAAATGAGAGTAACACACAAGGGATACTAGTTCCACCATGTGGAATGCCACAGAAGGGACTCTTTCCCTTCCTCCCTTAAGGGGAGACCTGGAGGAGAACCAAATTTGGCTCACAAAGGCTCACCTTTATGTACCAGTTGATGTCTTTTAAGGTGTCTCTCTAGACCGGTGATTCTCAAAGTGCAGTTCCCAGACCAGCAGACACAATGATACAGGGTCTCTCCATGTTGCCCAGGCTGGTTTCACTGCTGAGCTCAAGTGATCCACCCACCTCAGCCTCCAAATTACTGGGATTACAGGCGTGAGCCACCATGCCTACCCTATTTTTTCTTTAGGATTCTGGGAATGGTCATATTTAGTATCAGTTGGTTTAAGTTGGTTTTTTGGGTGTGTGTGTGTGTGTGTGTGTGTGTGTGTGTGTGTGTTTGGAGACAGAGTCGCGCTGTCACCCAGGCTGGAGTGCATGGTATGATCTCAGCTCACTGCAACCTTCCACCTATCAAGTTCAAACAATTCTCGTGTCTCGGCTTCCCGAGTAGCTAGGATTACAAGTGCACACCACGCCCAGCTAATTTTTTTTTTTTTTGAGTCTGATCTTATTTATTTGTTACTCAAAAAATCTTATTTCTGACTGGATTCAGACTTAGAAGTAGAAGCTTGCGGAGACAAAAGTCTGTGTCTCTTCACAATTTGTTCCTGGCGCTTCTCTTTAGCCTCCTTCATTCTCTTGGCCAAAAATTTAGCATATTCTGCGGCCTCTTCCTTGTTTTTCTTAGTACGCTGCTTCTTCAGAGCAATACGCCGCCGTTTGTGCTGCAGGACACGTGGAGTAACAAGACGTTGAATCTTGGGTGCTTTGGTCCTAGGTTTCTTACCTTCTTTGTTTAAGAGCTTTCTTACAACATACTGGCGGACGTCATCTTCTTTAGAGAGATTGAAAAGTTTGCAGATTCTGCTAGCTCTTTTGGGCCCCAGGCGACGAGGCACGGTGGTATCAGTCCAGGAATATCCTTCTCTCCTTTTTTTACAATAACCAAGTTGAGAACGCTCAGATTAGCATCCACAATGCAACCACGAACTGATTTTCTCTTTCTTTCTCCAGTTCTCCTTGGTCTGTAACAGGAATGCCCCTTACTCAGTAGCAGGCGGACACGGCCATGGGTCAAGACACCCTGCTTCATGGGGAAACCTTGTTTGTCGTTCCCACCACTGATTCGGACCACATAACCCTTCCATTCTTCACCCAGAGCGTCAGCGGCAACTTCTGTCGCCATACGCTTCTCATAAAAAGTACGAAGTTTACATTCATCATCCACTTCAATGAGTTTCTGGCAGCCAGTGGCTGGGAAGGAGATGTTCAGCTTCATCTTGAAACAGCTATATGCCTTCCAGGCGCCACAGAAAAGAGATAATTTTTGTATTTTTAGTAGAGATAGGATTTCACCATGTTGGCCAGGCTGGTCTTGAACTCCTGGCCTCATGTGATCCACCCACTTCAGCCTCCCAAAGTGCTGGAATTATAGGCATGAGCCACCACACCCAGCCTAGCCTCAGGTTTTAAATATTACTTTTTCTCCTCTGTTATAAATTCCTCTGGCTGACTCCAGACATACAGCACATCTGTTAATGCATGCTGGGCTTGTGTTCTCGATGTGCACTGACACCAGACCAACATCTCCTGTGTCCCAGGCATTGTTCAGAGTATTTAGGAAACAGCAATGAACAAAAGAGATGAAACACCTGTCCTCATGGAGCTCACTTTCTAGTGAGAAGTTAAAGAGTAAGATGAAGGAACTGTGCCTTTCCTTACATCACCCACGCTTAAAATAGAACCCAAAACCACACGTGCGGTTCTTCAAATACCAGGCACATGCTGCCTCAGGGCCTTCTCTCTCTCCCAGAGCTTCACTTAGCCTAACCCTCTCCCCAGTTCATTCTGAGCAAATGTCACCCCATCAGAGGGGTCTTTCCTGAATGTCTTTGCTAGACCAGCACACACATATATATATCATGCTGTGCCCCAAACGGGTTTGTTTTCCTTTGGCCCTTTTCCCTAGACTGATATTTATCTGTCTGTTGTCTGTTTCCTCTACTAGAATGTAAGTGACATAGAGGCAGGAATTTGGGTTTCTTTTTTCCCTGCTGTCTCCCCAGCCTAGGGACAACGCCTAGCATCCAGTAGGCATTCAAGAAGTATTTACTGAATGAATAAGTCACCCCTTCATTGATGTCAGTTTGGCAACGATAGTATTGACAGAGGGGATCATGGCTGGAGTTCTGGGCAGGGAACCACAGAAGCATACTTAAGGGGAAGGGGAAACAAAAAATTACCTGGAGGAGCAGTCATCCTAAATATAGGAGCAGCAGATGACCAGGGAGGTCACTCTCAACCACATCAGACTCTGCAAGTTGGCAGGGTTGTCACTGAATATCATTGCCTTGTTAAGGAATGCAGGGTCAGCATTTGCAGCATGGGAGAAGGAACTATCTGATGGAAAGGGAGAGATTAAAGATATAAAAAAGAGACAACTATGGAATAGAAGTCCAGCATTTACATTTTAACCTTTTTTTTTTTGAGATGGCGTTTCATTCTTTTGCCCAGGCTGGAGTGCAGTGGCATGACCTCAGCTCACTGCAACCTCTGCCCTCGGTTCAAGTGATTCTCTTGCCCCAGCCTCCAGAGTAGCTGGGATTACAGGCACCTGCCACCACGCCTGTCTAATTTTTGTGTTTTTAGTAGAGATGGGGTTTTGCCATGTTGGCCAGGTTGTTCTCGAACTTCTGACCTCAGGTGATCCACCCACCTCCCAAAGTGCTGGGATTACAGGCATGAGCCACTGCACCTGGCCTTGTTTTAACCTTCTTTTAGTCTCCACCTTGCCATAAGGCCAGGTGTGATGGCTTCTAGTATTCCCTCCTTTTTCCTGTCTCAGAGACTACTGATTCCTAAAAGAACCTAGTTCCTGGTTACTGGCTGCCTTCCAGACAGGGGCCAAATGAAAATTCAATGTATGCCATTGTTAGAATATGTTTTAAAGAAATCTGATTTGAGGCATATTAAACAGTTGGACATAAAGGGTAGTGTCTCATTGTAAGTCATTAGGAATAGGCAAGAAAAAGCAAAACAGAAACTGCCCCACCTACCAGGTAGGGCTCCTATTCTAGAACCAAGTGCTGCCCACAGAATATTACAAAGTCGTGCAGCAACTGTATCCAATACATAAATGCAGAAGCTTTCTTATTTACACCTTGTATAATTTGTTACGATTACATTACTGGGCTGGGTGCCGCGGCTCACACCTGTAATCCCAGCACTTTGGGAGGCTGAGGTGGATGGATCACTTGAGGCCAAGAGTTCAAGACCAGCCTGGCCGACATGGTGAAACCATTTCTCTACCAAGAAATACAAAAATTCCCCAGGTATGGTGGCACATGCCTATAATCCCAGCTACTTAGGAGGCTGAGGCAGGAGAATCGCTTGAACCCAGGAGGCAGAGGTCGCAGTGAGCTGAGATCATGCCACTGCACTCTAGCCTGGGCAACAGAGCGAGACTGTCTCAAACAAACAAACAAAAAGATTACACTGCTGGCATACATTTCTTTTCTTTTTAGAGACTAGGTCTCACTGTGTTGTTCTGGTCTGGACTCAAACTTGTGGTCTCAAAGCAGTCCTCCCACCTCAGCCTCCAAATAGTTGGAATCAGGCCTAGATTTGGCAACTAATGATAGTTGGTGCTTCCTAAATCATTAGTAAATTTCGATTTCTATTTTTAAAGTAACTATTCAAAAAGGAAACAGCGCAAATTGCTTTTAGCTTTGTATAAAGAGCTAATTAGTGAGTAGTTTATACAGTGGGAATGATAAGCTTCTGAGCTTTTGTTAAAACAGGAAGTCGTTTCTGTTAATGAAGCACTGGTGTAGTTTGGCACTTTAAGAACTTAGTTTCCGTGCCTTATACAAGGTGACACTAACTCTTCATGCCATTTCAAGGGTTGTGTATCTGGTGGTACCAGTAGCATCAAAGAGTGATTAATAATCCAATATTATTAATTAATACATGGATATTGGTATTGGAGGTCAAATACTATCTTTGTCTGTGAATCTTTTATGTAGAGAAGGGTGATGTAAAGTTACAAACTTTTTTTTTTAAATATATGAACATTCCCCTATCGTCAAGGGTAGGACAATAGTAAATTCACAGAACAATCATAAATTAACATAGAATCTGGCCAATCTGAAACTAGTACAGTAAGCGTTCAAGGAGAATGAGGCCGGGCTCGGCAGCTCACACCTGTACTCCCAGCACTTTGGGAGGCCGAGGCAAGCGGACCACCTGAAGTCAGGAGTGTGAGACCAGCCTGGCCAACATGATGACACCCCGACTCTACTAAAAATACAACAAAATTAGCCAGGCATGGTGATGGGAAAAAAAAGTGTTCAAGGTGAATGAAAAGACTGAGGAAGTTGGGCAGATTTTATTTTTTTCAAAGCTGGCCACAGCCCTACTTCCCATCCTATGTTAACTTACCAAAAAGCCCAACAGTTCTTACACTGTGTGCCCACAGAACACTGAGCTGACGCTGCTTTTTAAGGGAATGAGCATTACCTTCTATTTATCACTGTCTTTAAGCTGCCTAGACTACGATTATTACAACAACCACACTAGCACTGAGCATTTACTGTGTGTCAGCTGTTTACTGCGTCTCATTGTGTTGTGCCGTAACACTAAGATGTCATTACACTCATTCTGTTGGTAAGGAAATAAAGAAGTACAGTAACTTGCCAAGGTCACAGGAATGGTGAAGCTGGGGTTTTCCTCACACACCACACTGCTTTATCCCAATATTACAATGATGATCTGTCTCCAATTCACAAGAATATACTTTAAAATAGCCAATAGAATGCTCTCAAATTGGAAATGTTCTTCTACCAAGTTTTTTGACCTTTGGTATTTCTTTTTTTTTTTTTTTTTAATGCTGAAAGAGTATTTATTTGTCTATGCGCCCTGGAGGCCGGCCTCTAAATTTAAATATCCAGCATGGGGCCTTGGCCCTCCTGGCTGTGGGGTGGGTGTCAGGATGGGTCCTGGAGCCCTTCCATGGAAGTGGAACCCAGAGCCTGGAGGTGGGATGCCCTGAGCCAGCAGCTCACAATAGCAACAAAAGGGGAGAAGGAGATGGGAGCCAGACATTCATCCCAATCCCAGAGATGCCAAAAGGAGGAGAAGATACTTTGGACCCAGCCGCCAGGCTGAGGGTTGCCAAGCTGGGGGTGCACACATGTGGAAAAAGGTAGAGGCCCATTGCCATGGGCAGAGGCTATATCCTAGGTGCCTGCCCCAGTGTCAGCCAACCCAAGACAGGAGAAAGGGGTTGGCAGTTTTGCCTCTGAGAGACACAGGTGGTGCCTGGCCCTCCTGTGAAGTGAGTTGGTATGGGGGAAGGCACCAGCACTGCAGTCTGAAGGCTTGTGGAAGAGGGAGCATCTCAGCCTTTTGCATGGGTGCATGCCCACCACCCCCCCCTCAGCTCTTTGGAGGCTAATGTGGAAGGCATCCTGCAGCCACTGGTCACAGGCACTGTGCCTCTAGGACACAGTGAGGGGTGGCAGGTCGGGGAACAGGCTGGCATTGGGAGATTCATCATCATCAGACACGTCAGCATCAGGTTGGTAGGAGCTGTCTGAACGCAGGGAGGATGGCAGGTCCTAGCATAAGCTCATGACTTTTCACATTTCTAGAGAGTAAGTACCAGCAGATGACAGAAAGAATTAACAAGTAGCAAATATACATTCATGGAAAAGGTCAGAGCAGCTGGTTTTGCTTGGTTCATGTGTTCGAGTGTGGGTATGGGTGTGTGTGGGGGGGGTGTGGTGTGTGTGCTTTAGTGCAGACAGTGTGGCAGCTGCTCCTGGTTGTGAATATATTGTATGCCTATAACACTGTTTTCTTGTTTCCATTATGAAATTAAATACACCTTTTCATGGGGCTACAGAATGATCATCAATCATTCTATGGCAGCAGCTTTTCATGAATCCCCTAAAACTGTGTGCAAAGTTGCCTTCTGTGTATGTGTGTGTGTGTGTGTGTGTTGTTCTGGTGAGGGAGGTCTGAGGTTAAGCTACAGATTCCCAAAGAGGTCTGTGATTCCAGAAAGATTAAATACCATTCTACTTATCTGCCATCTCTCCATCATGTTTACAACATCATCGATGCATGCATATGTCTATTTATCCACTAAGAGACAGATTTCTTTCCAGATAGTAGCATTTGAGATGATTTATTTGTAATTTTCTGTCCTGCTTTAGTCCTTCATAATGACCATTGTATTAGTCCGTTTTCACACTGCTATAAAGAACTCCCTGAGTCTGGGTAATTTATAAAGGAAAGAGGTTTAATTGACTCACAGTTCAGCATGACTGGGAAGGCCTCAGGACACTTACAATTATGCCAGCAGTCAAAGGGGAAGCAAGGCAACGTCTTCCCAAGGCAGCAGGAAGGAGAAGCGCTGAGCCAAGGGGGAAGAGCCCATTATAAAACCATCAGATCTCATGAAAACTCACGATCACGAGAATAGCATAGGGGAAACCTCTCCCATGATTCAGTTACCTCCACCTGCTCTCTCCCTTGAAAAGCAGGGATTATGGGGATTACAATTCAGGATGAGATTTGGGTGGGGACACAAGCCTACTCATATCAACCGTGTATCATTTTTAGAAAAATAATGAATTGATTTAAGAGAAAAGGACAACTGATCTGTCCAATCTATCTTTACACCTCCATTGATAGGAAACTCAACCAGCTCTCTAGTTGGCCTAGTCTGTCTTTGTTTACCTCAAAGGATTAACATTTCTTCCACATGCTGAATTCATGGCTAGGCAATGAACAATTCAATGAAGAAGACTGAGCACAGTGGCTCACGCCTGTCATCCCAGCACTTTAGGAGGCCAAAGGGCGAATCACTTGAGGCCAGAAGTTAGAGACCAGCCTGGCCAACATGGTGAAACTCCATCTGTACTCCAAAAATACAAAAAATAGTTTGGCATGGTGGTATATGCCTGTAATCAAGGTGCTACCCTTGATACTGGGTAGCTACTCGAGAGGCCGAGGCAGGAGAATCGCTTGAACCCAGGAGGCAGAGGTTGCAGTGAGCTAAGACTGGGCGACTACACTCCAGCCTGGACAATAATGCTAGAGGCTCTCAGAAAATAAACAAACAAACAAACAAATCGATGAAGCTCCAGGGGATAGATAGAACAGAAGTGAGTCTTGAGGTGAGAGACAGGGAGAGGCATCTGTGGCTGGATCCCTAGAAGCCATCTGAGGACACTGGCCTGCTTTGCCATCCCAGATCAGGGACAGGGTGCCAAAAACAGTGAACAGGGTTCAGCACAGCCTGAGCCTGCAAATGGCTTATCTGTGGTTCACGGAACAAGCTCAGGAAGCTGGCAGGGAGAAAGAGATACGGTGAGGCAGAAAGGAGAAGAACAAAGTCCAAATACACAAGGGGAAGGAGTAGGTGGAGCTCACCCAGTGTCAGCAGCCCTTGGGTGCAGGAACTCTCTGCGGAATGGAGCCCAAGAAGGGAGTGGTGGCAATGCCAACATGCCTCAGTTGAGAGAAAAGGCCCTTTGGCTAAAATACTGTGTCCTAGTTCCCAAGGCAGCCCCCAACTGGATTCCCCTCAAAATGTAGGTGTGTGTATGAGTATGTAGAGAAGCTAGAATAATCACATGTACCATATTTTAAATGTTAACCTATTTTTACCTCAAAAATTTCATCTGATCCTCATGGAACCTTTAATGCAGGCAAAGTTAAGACTCAGAAAGGAGCAACAATCTTGCATATTCTTCACATGTACCCCAAAACCTAAAACGCAATAAAATATATATTAAGAAAAACACTGAATATTAAATAGAAAGAAATGCTGAAAGAATTTGTAATATGTAATAATTTTTTTTTAACTACCGAGTTGAAAAACACTGACAGAAAAAAAAATTCTAAAATGCTAGAATAGATGGTTTAGGGAAGAAAATTATAAATGGTCTTCTTCCTTTTCTTTCTTAATTTTCTGGTTGTGACTCTATCAGTTAAAATTTTTGATGAAAAAAAAAAGACTCAGAAAGGAGATGTGCCTGGACTAAGGACACACAGCTCAATAAGGCAGCAGAGGCATCAGCAAAAGAACCCTATTTTGTATGTGCACTCATTCCAAATTGCCCCGGTTAAACTAGGCTGTTCCAATGTATCCTTTCCCCTTTACTCTTTAATTCGCTTCTTTAGAGCCTTCCTGTATTTTACATATTGGAACTGATCTATAATACAGGTAGACTGTGACTCCAAAGTCAATAACAGTTGGGGATCCATCGGTTATTCATGATGCTATGGCATTTCAAGACTGCCTGGGAACTGATGAGAAAAGAGGTAAAACTAATGAGCAAGTCCAAGTTTAGCCCATGGGTCACTCCAGCAGACCATGAATGACTTAAAAACCATACACTTGTGCCCACACACACACACACAAACACACACACACTCCCAGCTTGGCTTTAGTAAGGAGTCACAACTTTTTATTGGAAAAAAAGTGTCCCCAGACAGTTGAAGAGTCATCTTTGAATAGGACAAGTCTGTCACTGACATATTGAATATTTTCATGCTTACAGTGACAGGAAGGAAAACCCGCAAAGGGGGCTAGAGATGAGAGAGAACAAAACCCAGGACAGTAAACCAAGGGGACTTGACACAGGTGAGAAGATACCAGGGAGGCTCCCATGAAAAGTAGTGTGTTTTGTTCCAAGAGGCTTGGTCGAGAAGGGCTTACTCAAGGTGTGTGGATCCCACTGCCTCTGTTCTGACACCACCTAGTGTACTGCATAATTCTGACAACGACCACCAGAGTTAGATCAGATGCTGCCGGTGAAGGGACACAGTTGCCACAGGGCTGCCCTTACTTCAGACACAAGCCCCACGTGGGGATCCCAGGCCACCGTCACTTGTGACCAACTGGCTACAAACCCAGGAGGGTACCATGACCTTCCTCAGGTTCAATCATTCTCTAAAAATCACAGAACTCAGGATTGTATTTATGATTATTTTATTATGAAGGATACAAATCAGCTCCACCAGCCAAATAAGACACAGGAAAAGGTCTGGGAGGGTCTCGAGCATGGCGCTCCCGTGGCCTCTCTTCATGGAATTAGGGCACACTTCCCTGCTGGCAGAGCCACGGCTCCACCAACCAGGAAGCTATGCTGATCACCCTCTAATCACACGGTCAGTCTTTCTGGTGTCCAGCCCCAGCTCTGAGTCATCTCACCTCTTAGCATAAGCTCTGGTGTGATCCCGTGGCCTCACAAATAACAAAGACACTCCTATTACCCTGGAAAGGTCAAGGACTGAAAGACTCCCTCCCAGGAACCAGGGACAAAGGCCAGTCCAATTCTTTAGACAACCTCCAATTCACACCTCCTGCACCTCCTACCCCAATTCAAACAAGGATAAAATCCACTAAACAGGGCCCATTGCTGGCCTGAACTATTTTATTTTTTGAAATTTTTTATTATAGACATTTTCAAACATATACAACAGTGGAACGAATAATATAATGAACCCCCACTCCATCCCTAGTAACTGATTATCCATTTGTGGCTTACTCTTTCATTGATACCCACCCCCTTTCCCTTAGCCCCCACAGTTGGATTGTCCCGCAGCAAAACCCAGACAGACATCCTATCAGTCTGAGAATTCCTTATCAAAAGCTTCCCAAAGAGGAGCTCTACCCAGGGTAAGACTAAGTGTGCTGGCTATAGGTCTGCTGAAATCTCAACCCTTGGGAGCCCCTGAGTGGGGCCTGGACAGGTCCCTGGGCAGTAGCCATCTGTAGTAGGCGGCTCATTTGTTGACAACAGCATGACATACAAACCGCAGTTTCTGCCCACACTGAAATGCGGGAGAGAACACCAAACACTGCTTTATAGCGTTCAAAGCTTCTAAGGCATGTCAGCCAGCCCTGGTCTTGTCTACAGCCGTGATTATCTCCTTAAAGAGTTAACTCTAAAAAAATTAAGCTCAAGAAATAACAGTTCAAATACCCCTAATTAATTAAAATCAACAGTGAGAGGCAGAATATGGTCAAAGATAACATATTAGTATTATTGATCGCACATCGATTTCAGAGTACTTAAAACAGGAATAATCAGCCACCGCATATTGAAAAATACAGACTTGATCCTTTTTGTTTATCATGCCACACTGACTGGGACAGTCCCCAGTACCTGGGTCTAGGATAGTATTTTATGTTTGTGTTTCTGGGAATTTCTGATACTTGCCAGTGTACCAGAAGAGTGTTCCCCTCACACATGCTAGCAGGCTTCTCTCCTCCCTAATGGAACGGAAAAAGTGCTGAACAGAGTGATCCTCTACTTTCTCATCATATTCTACAAAATGAGAAGTCAGATGGACACAAAGGTTCTTCCAACTCTAGGACTCCAGGGTTGTGTGGCGGCCCTGCAAGGCTAGGTTATGTAAGGTCTTACCACTGCAAACAGAATGGTTAAAGACAGCAAGGACGCACTCCTCAATTTACAACTCCAAAGTACCTTGCACAAAACTCGGCTTTGGTTACCTACTTGACCCTCTTATAAACAGAGGGACTCAGCTTCCCTACCCTGAGCTGCACATTTGCCAGGGAAGGAGCCTCCCTACTGTCCTCATTTCTGCAGAAGAGAGGCAGAGCAGGAGCCATGGATTAATCCCTGGCATTTCCTTCTCTAAGCCTAGCTGTTTCCCAAGTATTAATTGGTTTCAGACAAGGCTTTTGTTTCAGAAAATCAATGAAGATGCTTTTGATCATCTTCAAAAGCAGAGAAGAATCACCAAAGAACTTTTCATCCAAGTAGTAAAGAAGAAAACGTCTAAGGACCACATATTACCTATTGCAGGGATGTCTTCCCTACGAAGACTACTGCTCTCCCAGTAAAGTAAAAATCCTTGCCGGGAGATGACGCTGATCAGGTGTGTACCTGTCAGGAATATCAACTGTTCTGCCCTTCCTACAGTGCCCAAGAATTCCAGCATGAGGCCTGAGATGCATTACATTCTCAAATATCCATATGAAAAGATCTGGGGTCTCTACTTCCCCTGGTGACCTCTTTTCATATTATAAGAAGCCTGACTGGAGCTCTCCTCTAAGCAAAGCCCAGAGCTGAACTCAATTCATTATAAGAGGTTAAGTTCTTCACACTTAACATCCTAACATCGGGCTATAAGGAGCCTGGGGAAAATCCAGCAATCCATTCACTCCCGCCTCTTAGTGGACTGGGTTATTTTCACTGCACAGAAACACTGCAGGGAAAATAGCCACTTGTGTGACCCTCTTTAACTCATTCCCTCCCTGATCAATGTGAGTTTACAGAACTGGCTCAAAGGAGGAAGGCAGCACAAGGGGGTAGGGCCAGCCCCAGGCTCTGACTCATGAGACGGCCAGTGCTGGGTCTGCAGCCTGTGGCCAGGGATGAACAGGAATGTTCCTGTTCCCCATGAGGTTTGCTAAAAGACCCTTTTGGTGCTAGGTTGCCACCCGAGCAAGTGGTCTAGTGTGGTCCCTGAGGCAGCCTGTCTCCATGATAGCAGGCTTCAGAGATCCAGCTTAGCTGGCTGTGCTAGCTTCAGTGGTACCTGCACTGTCATTCCGTATCTCACAATCCAGGGGAGAGGAGCTAAAGCCAAGAAGAGTTGTCAGTAAGAAAGCAGGACACTCCAACACGAGCAAACCCATCAGGCTTCTGTTGACCCAGGGCAGTGTCCCTCTTGACCAGCAGAGTTCCTTGCCCTGCAGCCAAGGCTATGGGAAGCAAGGCCTCCAGCAAAGCTCATGGCTGCCACCAAAGCATCTCTGCCAAGATGCTTCTCATGACACTTAGGAAGGATTTCCATTCAAACTGGACCGGGGTCACCTGACCTTGAATCACAAATCCAACACAGGCTCATTCCAGTCATGGTTTGAAGCTTTAGCTGAAAAGTTTCCTGTTTGAAAACCATCAATGGGGAGTGATGGGTGAGCAGGGTAGGAAGGGAACAGCACTATTTTACAGTGGAGGAAGAGGGCATGCTTCTTTAGGAAACTCTGTTCTGGGTAGAGACTGCTGTGGGTGTTTCCTCAAGCACAGCTAATAATCAGGAGATCGAGCCCCAGCATGTGGGTAACGGAGGTTGTGTAATTCAACCAAATTTAATGACTTTGGAATTTTAAAAACATCTATGGTAAGTAATCAAAACACCCAGATCTGAAGGCTACCCCAGAGAGCAAAGGGGCAGCCTTCAGATCCAAGTGGCCCAAGACAGAACCTACAGTAGATATGGATTTTTTTCTAAGAGGAATTAGGCACTCATGACTTCACTCCCCAGAGCTCTGCCCAGCTGCCCAGCAGCCTGGAGATTTCCCAGAACAATGAGAAGCAGGTCACCCTGCCCTGATAGGCACCAGGGGGTGGAAATGCCTCCTTGCCCACAACACAATCACCTCCACCCCTTTTCCCAGGCTAAATCCCATCCCCCACCCTCCCGCCTGCTCCCCTCCCATACTCCCAAACCTTGGGACCTCTTGGGGAATTCTCCAAGGAGAGTTCTGCCTGCTGGATTTTCACTAGGGTCTTGGGACCTCTGCAAGCAGTCAGTCCAAGTGTCCATGGCCTGCCTACTTTGGGGAGCAGATGGAAAGCGTGGCACCAGCGGAGAACACCCAGAAAGCCGGGTACAAAGCCTCAGTAAAGTCCACCTTGAACTTATACATCAGGTGGACCTTGTCAGCAACAGCAAAGAAGATGACAAAGCCGTGGTCACAGTTGAGAAGCACGCCCACCCGTGTGGCCTTGGTAGAGGGCAGGGTTTTCTCCACGTTGTTGTGCCAGGCAGAGATCTTGGTGTTGAACCACTCCACGCACCAGGAGGCATTGTTGCGGCCGAGCCTGCTCTCGGGGCCCTGCCGGTCCATGCTGCCATAGCAGATGCCTACCCCACAGAAGTTGTTCTTCTGCAGCTCCACCTCCCAGTAGTGGATCCCCTTCTTGTAGCAGTGCAGGCCCAGCACCTGAGAGCAGTATGTGAACCTCTGGGGATGCGGCCGGTAGTTCTGAGGCATCTCAGCCACAGAAGCTACTGTATAGTTCTGTGACAGAGCCACCTTTTTGTGGGCAGTGTTGTAGTCCAGGATGACTTTAACATAATCTGAGAAAACAACACCCCAAGGATTAATTACAAGGGGCCCAAAGTGCTCTCACTTTTAGACCTTTCCCAATGTGGTACTATTTATTCACCAGTTTTATCCATCCATGCACCCATCTGCCCATTTGTCTGTCCATCCATACTTCTAACTATCTGTCTGTCTATTCATCCATCTATCTGTCTATCCATGTATCCATCCATCCATCTAGCCATCTACCCATGTGTCCATATACCCATCTATCCACTCATCCATTCACTTTTCTATCCATCCTTCTGTCTTTCCATTTATCCATTCATTCATTCATCTATCCACTCATCTAGTCATTTATCCATTTATCCATCTGTCCATCTATGCAGCCATCCATTATCCATCAGCTCATCTATCCATCCATCCATCCATCCATCCATCCATTCTGCCCAGCCAGCCATCTATCATCTATCAGTCATCCACGTGTCTGCCCATTCATGCGTCCAAAATAATTTACCAGGCACATGACTGACACAGATTCTGGTTGCCTCATGGAGTTCACACTCCAACAAGCAAGGCAAGTCCATCAGTAACAACACTATGAGACTCACACTCTCCCAAAAGCGTAGGCACACACTGTAGGGACACAGAGATAAGGCCACTGATGCTACAGTTGGGGAACATTTTGCTGTCATGCTGGAGCTGGAACCAAGTAACAGAAGATGAGAACTAGACAGAGGAAAGAGAATGGCCATTCCAGACAGAGGGAATGGTGAGGGTGAAGCCACAGAGTGCCAGAAGGGTGGGGGTGTGCCAGGATTGAGGAAGCTGGGTGGCTGGGAACACAGATGCAGCAAGAGAAGGGAAACATGTTGGGGCTAGAAAGGGAAGAACTCAGGAGTCTAGACTTTAACTGGTGGGCAGCAGGGAGCCAAGCTCTGTAAGCATAGACATGGCCTGACTATATCCTTGGTGTGACACTAGCATATCCTCCCTACCCTTCCTGCCACTTACAAGCAGTTCCAGATCTGAGGATGAAGCTCCCCTCAGTGTCATCCCATACTCAATCTCCTCTGCCCCCGTCCTCATAGGAGATCTTGGGGACCCATGGGAAACAGCTCATGGGGCAGCAAGGCAGACAGGGACAAATCTTAGCTTGGGAACTTGGAAACCAAGAGACCTGGACTTTCGTCCCAGTCTCTTTAGTCCCTACTCACTTGCTAGGTGGCTGAGGGGCATGACACTTTTCACTGGAGCCCGAGTTTCCCCCTAGGCAAAATGAATAAGCTGTGGGGAAAACAGGCCCTAAGTGGCTAGAACTTTACTTTCCCTGCTTATGCAGCTGCCACTGAGTGCACAGCAGCTCCTGAAACATGTGGTTCAGCACCACCACCAGCAGCTTGCGCAAGAGACAGCTCCAGCCCGGGGCTGGTCTGGGCCTCTCATGGGGGACAAACACAGTGGTGAGCTACAAGGAGGCCAGCCCTGAGAAACCAAGGGACCCACAGATCTCCACCAAGTCTGCTGCAGCTGCAGATGAAGGAAGGGCCTGAGGTGTATTTTTCAGTGATTGGGTTTGGCCACCACATAGAAGTGGGTACCGCTGGCAGGTGCTGCATGGAGTGTTGCCCGTGGGTGCAGAAGAAACAAGAGGGAAAGTGGGCAGGTCCTAGGCCTGGCCTTGATAAAGGAACTCCACCCATTTCCAAGTTGGACAAGCTTGCAAAGGAGCCTGACTAGAGGGGTGGGTGGAAACCCAGGGGCGTATAGTGGCTCAAGGGTCAAGGGGAGAGAGTGTCAGAAGGAGGAGGAATGCCACTGAGAGGTGACGCTAAATAAAAGCTGAAAGGCATCCCTTGGATTTTGTGACACAGAGGCCACTGATGACCTCAGAGCTGCCTGAGTCAAGGGCAGGAGAGAGGTCAGACTGCAGTGGCAAAAGGATTAGACTTCGGGCTCTCACCTCGGCCCCACACTGCAACCCTGGACAACTAAACACTGAGATTCTGAGTGAACCATTCTGGGGGGCAGCCTGGGCATCGGGGATTCTAAAAACCTCCCCAGAGGATTCTAACACATGGCCAGCAGTTGAGAGCCACCAGTGTCCACAGTCTGAAGAGCTGCTTTTCCCCAGCCGTCCTCAAAAGGACCATGAAGGAAATGAGCCAAACATAAAAGATCTCCGTGCTTGCCTGAGTCTGATCCTGTAGAACTGGAACAGGGCCCAGGAATTTGTTTTTTGGGTTTTTTTGGTTTTGTTTGTTTGTCTGTAGAGACAGAGTCTCACTCTCTGTTGCCAGGCTGGAGTGCCGTGGCACAATCTCAGCTCACTGCAACCTCTACCTCCTGGGTTCAAGCAATTTTTGTGCCTCAGCCTCCCAGGTAGCTGGGATGACAAGCATGTGGCACCATGCCTGGCTAATTTTTTGTATTTTTAGTAGAGATGGGGTTTCACCATGTTGGCCAGGCTGGTCTTGAACTCCTGACCTTTTGGTCTCCCAAAGTGCTGGGATTACAGGCATGAACCACTGCACCCAGCTAGGAATTTGTATTTTTAAAAAGCATTCAGGTAAAAGGGAGGCAGGAAACAGAGCTGGAGCCAAAACAGTTTTTTTTTTTTTTTTTTGAGACGGAGTTTCGTTCTTGTTACCCAGGCTGGAGTGCAATAGAGTGATCTCGGCTCACCGCAACCTCCGCCTCCTGGGTTCAGGCAATTCGCCTGCCTCAGCCTCCTGAGTAGCTGGGATTACAGGCATGTGCCACCATGCCCAGCTAATTTTTTGTATTTTTAGTAGAGACGGGGTTTCACCATTTTGACCAGGATGGTCTCGATCTCTTGACCTCGTGATCCACCCGCCTCGGCCTCCCAAAGTGCTGGGATTACAGGCTTGAGCCACCACGCCCGGCCCCAAAACAGTTTTGCTGGGTTTGTTTTGTGATTTGGAGAGATGTAAACATGCTACAGATAGGCAAGCCTCAGCAGAGAGGCTGAGGGTGAAGAGATGGGAGTGGAAAGGCCTAAGAGAGAGCAGAAGACTCCAGAGAGCACATGGGGAGCAGACTCCAGAGCCCAGGGCCAGGGACCAGGCTTGGGAAAGGGGCCAGGAGGCGAGGAAAAGGGCACAGTAGATGCAGGTATGATGACAATTAACAGAGCAGGGGGAGTCCCTTTTTCACTGTCTCTCTTCTCTGTGAAGCAGAAGGTGGGCAAAATAGGGAGAAGGCTGTGGGAAGTCTTGGGAATGGTGGCTCTGAAAGAGTGGTAGGGAGGGGACAGGAGACAGCAGCCAGGTGAAGGCTGGTGACCACAATCGCCCTGCCTTCTCTGCAGGGAACATGCAGATGCCAAAGGTGAGCTCAGTAAGGCCAGAATAGACAGCAAGAGGGAGAGTCAAAGGACCCATTGTGAAATCTGAGCTGGTTAGGAAAGAAGTCAAGAAAGGCACTGATGACTGGGAGGAATAAGGGAGCAACAAAGTAGAGGACAAGTGAAGGGAAATGGCTGGGAAATGGCTGGCCAGCTGGCCTCACACAGAACTGTACAGAGTGGCTGAGGACAGACAGAACCGGTGGAACCGCGCACCAGCACAGAAGCTACTCACACTCCTGGAGCTCAGGTCTGGACTTGGCCAGAAAGGTCTCCAGCACCTTGGCCTTGAGAGATGCTGCGTTCGGCTGTGAGCTGGCACCTTTGGCTCCAGTGGCTGCCGCTGAGAGAGGAAACAAAGAGCAATTTGCAGAACAAACTCCGAGTGGACACCCCAAAGCTTCTTGCCCATGATAACTCACCCTCAGAGCCATCTTGTTCTGATTCCACTATCAGTCCCGAAGCTATAAGGAAAGAGAAACATGATACAGAGCAATGGGTTGGCCTCTACTCCCTTCCTAAGAGCAGCTTCTACAAACACACACCTGAACAGCAGGGCAACACAGGGGACACCAGACAGGGCTAAAATCACCTTACTCATCTCACTCATTTATGCTTGTCCTCCCCTCCAGACTCAGGCCTGCTGCCATACAGAATGGAATCATACAGATCCCAGCACAGAAAGAAGCCTGATGAGAGAGATCAACTCTCGCTACCAGCATTTAGTTCTATGCTCAGGCAGTCTCAAGAAACAAACAATTGCAGAAATGCAAAACTTACAAGGTTTCTTGGATTTCTTTTTCTCTTCTGCAAAAGAAAGTTTTCAGAATTAAGATCTTTTAAGGCAAATACAATGACATTTTCAAAATAATAATATTCATGTGCTTGAATTTGACCCAGTCAAATAAAAGGATGTTTTCACTTGAAAAATAGGAGTCAGCAGGCAAAATGAATCTACAGTGATAGAAACCAGTATCAGTGGACATGGCAGGCAGGGACTGATGAATAAGGAGCAGGAAGGAATTTTCTTTTCTTTTCTTTTCTTTTTTTTGAGACAGAGTTTCACTGTTGTTACCCAGACTGGAGTGCAATGGCATGATCTCGGCTCACCGCAACCTCCACCTCCTCGGTTCAAGCAATTCTCCTGCCTCAGCCTCCCGAGTAGCTGGGATTACAGGTGCGCGCCACCATGCCCAGCTTAATTTTTGTATTTTTAGTAGAGACGGGGTTTTACCTTGTTGACCAGGATGGTCTTAATCTCTTAACCTCGTGATCCACCCGCCTCGGCCTCGCAAAGTGCTGGGATTATAGGCATGAGCCACTGCACCCAGCTTTTTTTAAATTTTTTTTTTGAAGAATTTTCTGGAGTAAGGGAAATTATCTTGATTTGGATAATGGTAACACATGTATGCATTTGTCAAAATAGATCTAACTATTTAAGATTTACTGCAGGTAAACTATATTTCCATAAGGGAAGAAACACAAAAACCAAATAGGGAATCAGAAAAAAAATTTAAAAAAAAAAAAAAACTTGCCAAGGGCTGGGCACACAGTGGCTCACATCTGGAATCCCAGCACTTTGGGAGGCCAAGGCGCAGGGATCACTTGAGCTCTGGGTTAGAAACCAGCATGGGCAACATGGGGAAAACCCATGTCTACCAAAAGTACAACAACAACAACAACAACAAACTAGCTGGGCATGGTGGCACACACCTGTAGTCCCAGCTACATGGGAGCAGAGGCAGGAGAATTGCTTGAGCCCAGGAGGATGAGGCTGCAGTGAGCTGTGTTCTCACTACTGCACTCAGGCCTGGGTGACAAAATGAGACCCTGTCTCAAAAAAAAAAAAAAAAACTGCTTGCCAAGTCCTTTGAAAATATCTGGAGTGTGTACCCACAAGAACTGAACTTGGCTAAAATAGTGATTCTCAAAGTCTGGTGCCCAAGCCAGCTGCAGTGACATCACTGGAGAATCCCTAAGAAATGCAAATTATTTGCAAACTCAGAGTGGACACCCCAAAGTTTCTTGCCCATGATAACTCACCCTCAGAGCCATCTCGTTCTAATTCCACTATCAGTCCTGAGGCTGTAAGGAAAGAGAAACATGATACAGAGCAATAGGTTGGCCTCTACTCACTTCCACGCTAAGAGTAGCTTCTACAAACACTAATAAGGGCTAAAGTCACCTTACTCATCTCACTCATTTATGCTTGTCCTCCCCTCTAGACTCAGGCCTGCTGCCATACAGAATGGAATCATACAGATCCCAGCACAGAAAGAAGCCTGATGAGAGAGATCAACTCTCGCTACCAGCATTTAGTTCTGTGCTCAGGCAGTCTCAAGAAACAAACAATTACAGAAATGCAAAACTTACAAGGTTTCTTGGATTTCTTTTCCTCTTCTGCAAAAGAAAGTTTTCAGAATTAAGATCTTTTAAGGCAAACACAATGACATTTTCAAAATAATAACAATTCATGTGCTTGAATTTGACCCAGTCAAATAAAAGAATGTTTTCACTTGAAAAATAGAAGGAGTCAGCAGGCAAAATGAATCCACAGTGATAGAAACCAGCATTAGTGGACGTGGCAGGCAGGGACTGATGAGTGAGGAGCAGGAAGGAATTTTCTGGAGTAAGGGAAATTATCCTGATTTGGATAATGGTAACACATGTATGCATTTGTCAAAATAGATCTAACTACTTAAGATTTACTGCAGGTAAACTATATTTCCATAAGGGAAGAAACACAAATAAAAACCAAATAGGGAATCAGAAAAAGAAAAAACTTGCCAAGGGCTGGGCACACAGTGGCTCACATCTGGAATCCCAGCACTTTGGGAGGCCAAGGCGCAGGGATCACTTGAGCTCTGGGTTAGAAACTAGCATGGGCAACATGGGGAAAACCCATGTCTACCAAAAGTACAACAACAACAACAACAAATTAGCTGGGCGTGGTGGCACACACCTGTAGTCCCAGCTACATGGGAGCAGAGGCAGGAGAATTGCTTGAGCCCAGGAGGATGAGGCTGCAGTGAGCTGTGTTCTCACTACTGCACTCAGGCCTGGGTGACAAAATGAGACCCTGTCTCAAAAAAAAAAAAAAAACTGCTTGCCAAGTCCTTTGAAAATATCTGGAGTGTGTACCCACAAGAACTGAACTTGGCTAAAATAGTGATTCTCAAAGTCTGGTGCCCAAGCCAGCTGCAGTGACATCACTGGAGAATCCCTAAGAAATGCAAATTATTTGTCAGGCCCTGTAGCTTACTCCTATAATCCCAGCACTTTGGGAAGCTGACGCAGAGGACTGCTGGAGGCCAGGAGTTCAAGATCAGCCTGGACAACATATCAATATTCCGTCTCTACAAAAAAAAAATTTTTTTTAATTAGCCTGGCTTGGTGGCACATGCCTATAGTCCCAACTACTCAAGAGGTGAAGGCAGGAGGATCACTTGAGCCCAGGAGTTCGAGGCTGCAATGAGTTCTGTTCGCACCACTACACTCCAGCCTGGGCAAAAAAGCGACACCCTGTTTCTTAAAAAATAATAAATAAATGCAAATTCTTGGGTCCCAAGCCACAGCTGCTGAATCAGAAAGTCTAGGGGTGAGACTCAGCAATCTGTGGTATACAAGCCCTCCACGTGAGTCCAAAGTCCACTCAAGTGGCTTAGAAGATTCCAGGTTCCTTCTTTGCCACCTTCCACAACACTGGAATGAAAAATCATATCCCTACCCACCTGCAGGACACCTGACATCACAGATACCGTGCCCTCTCCTATTACCCTCTACCTCCCCACCAGACCTCTGCCACACCACGAAGCCCCCTGCCTTACCACTTCTCCTATTTCAAAGTCACAATGCTCACAACTGCTCAATCTCTGCCCCATTTCCTCACCTTCTGCCACTATCCCACCCACTCCCTGTGGACCAGCATCCTGGGAGGCCCAGGCTGTGACATCAATCTAGGGCACAGGCCCCTCCCTTATCACCTACCCATAGCTGTCTCTCTGCATTGGGACTAGTCCACCCCTGCTCCTCTATTTCACCATTTCAGCCTAGAGGAGCCTTGATTCATTCCCAAACTTAACTCTCTGTTCTCCAGGGTGTCATTCTGCTGTGGCAGGAGGCCTTTGCCTTACTGGGGAACACACCTGGCTGCTGGCCGGCATCCCCAGTTCATTCACACCGAGGGAGGAGATTTCAGAGGAAGGTGACTGGAGAAGGACACAGGCCAACAGTACTTTTTTCACTTCCCTTTTCACACAAAGTACCCTTCGAAGTTTTCCTGCCTAGCTAAGGGCTCCTTCCTCCATCTGCACAAGGCATCCCAGCCCTGAATTGGTTCCATTCAGGGACCAATACCACACTCTGCCTGCTACAGTTGACCTAAACACTAAGCACAAGCAACAACAAAGAACAAACCCAGCTCTCTCATTCCCCACAATACCAGCAGTACATGGCCAGCCCTCCTGGGTTCACACCAACTTTTCAGGGAAGCAATGACAGCTAACATTTCAGTGATATATGAAGATTTCAGTGGTACATGGACATCTCAGTGGCACATGGACATCTCAGTGGCGCATGGACGTCTCAGTGGCGCATGGACGTCTCAGTGGCGCATGGACGTCTCATGGCACACGGACGTCTCGGGGCACACGGATGTCTCAGTGGCACACGGCCGTCTCAGGGGCACATGGACGTCTCGGGGCACATGGACGTCTCAGTGGCACATGAACGTCTCAGTGGCATATGGACGTCTCACTGGCACATGGACGTCTCAGTGGCACATGGACGTCTCAGGGCACATGGACGTCTCAGTGGCACATGGACGTCTCAGTGGCATATGGACATCTCACTGGTACATGGATGTCTCAGTGGCACATGGACATCTCAGTGATACATGGACATCTCAGCGGCATATGGACATCTCAGTGATACATGGACATCTCAGTGGTGTACAGCTCATAAAGAGCTCTCACAATCAGTGTCCCCTCATCACTCACAATCATCCTGTGGCCTCGATATCACTACTGTCCACTTTTGCAGGCAAGGAAACAGGACCACTCTTCCCCCCAATCCCCATGTCAATGGTGCGTGCCTGCCCAACAAAGGGGATAGCACCACTAGGAGGGCAAAAATGATTACTGGGGGAGAGGGAGTAAAAAAACAATTACTCTTTTTATGTGTAAAAGCACAGAACATAAACAGTAATGCAGCAGATATGTAGTATTAAAATTTCGTGGGTTGCAATTAGGAAAAAAAATGGTTCAGAGGATAAAGCAGGAGTGTAATAGTGAGAAAAAAAAAAAGGTTGAGTAACACGGTAACAGCAGAAGCCCATTACAACCCAAAACTGAACATTGCTCAGCTGCCAAGGAGGTTTAGCCTCCACCCCTCCTGGACAGCTGTCAGTCTCCTTGCTCAAGGCTCTACCCAAGGACTTGGGTATAGTAAATATTTCCCAAAACAAGCCAGCTTCGGGAATCTTGCTGTTCCAGGCAGCCTAAACATGCAATGCTGATGGAAAGAGGGACTCCTGCAACAGCCCTGCAACCCCCTACGGTGGGGGCTGCTGCCAACTTTTCTCCTGCTGAGGTCCAGGGCCCCACAGTGACTTGGGATGGGCTGTAAATGACTTGGCCAGAACCCAGGGTGGCCACAGCCATGCTGTTGCCATGGTGACAGGGGTGGGGCTACTTACTTGGGGCCTTCTTCCCAGGGCGTGCAGATTTGTATGTGGACGCTGAGTCATGCTCTCCAGGGTCACCTGTGTCAGAGAAGAAGGGCTCAGTGTGTGCAGCTCCTCTCACTGACTTGAGAAGCCAGCTTTGCCATGGGTGGCTGGGCGGGAAGAGGGTTTACACAGACAGCCCTTTCCTCCAGCCTTCCCCATCTCATCATTTACAAGAGCTACAAACGAGGTGATCTAAGAACCAATTTGGTGCATTTCCTCTTTTTTCTGACTTAAAATGTAGTGAGGGTCACGTCTGTTTTCCACCAGCACCCAGTTCTGGAGCCTCTGAGACTTCTCTGAACTTTGGCTTCTTCGAGGATACAATGGAGATGGCTTCACCTTGCTCATGGTTGATGTGACTCCTGAATGAGATCAAGGTGCCTGGCGTGTGGCAGAGGCTGGATCAACACTTGTTCCTTTCCCACTGTTTTTTCTCTCCCCTCCTCCCACACACCAACCACCTATCAATTTGCCGATCACACCACTGCACTCCAGTCAAGGCAACAGAGCCAAACTCTGTCTCAAAAAATATATATATATATAATTAGCCAGGCATGATGGTGTGTATCTACAGTCCTAGCCAATGGGGAGGCTGAGGCAGGACGATTGCTTGAGCCCAGGAGTTTGAGGTTACAGTGAACTATAATCACACCATTGCACTCCAGCCTGGGTGACAGAGCAAGATCCCGTCTCTAAATAGCCCCTGCCTTGATAGAGATCACAACCTAGTGAGGAAGATCTTCAGGATCCTGTAGATCCTGAAGAGTATGATGCTGCCCATGCAAGAGCCCCGAGAGAATAATCAGGACCCCAGGCCCAGTCTGAGGAGTGAGAGCAGTGGCAGGGGAGGTTGGCTATAAATGTAATGTTTCAGTGATCTCTGAAGGGTGAGAGGAGTTAATTAGTGAAGATGGTAGAGTTCAAGCCTTCTAGAGAGTGGGGAGGAGCACACACAAAGGCCCTGCAGCAGGAAGTTTTGCATATTTGAGGAATTGAATGCAGAGAGATGCATCGGAGGAGTTGTGGGGTACCTTGGGGCTGGAGAGAGACCAACAGGGCCTGACCTGGCTTCTAGACCAGGGTCAAGGGTTTGGTCTGCATCTGGGAGTAATGGGAAGCCTAGTGAGAGGGCAAAGCCAAATGGGTCCCAGGAGCTGAATTCTGCATCATGAAAATCTCTCTCTGGCTGCAGCGGCATATGCAGAGGGTTTAGGAAGCTGCCACAGTCATGGGGCAACAGGGGATGGCAACGGATGCAACAATGGCAAGCAGCGCTTGGATCAGCAGACTGAGTCGGGAGATCAAAAGAAGTGAAATTTGGCAATGGATTGCATATGGGGTGATGAAAAGGGGGTGTCAAAAAGGAATTCCAGATTTTTCCTCCAAACGAGCCATTCCCCCACCAAACACAGCAACAAGCCCAAGTCAAAACCCATCCAAGTTGGCCTCAAGATCACAGGCAAAAAGAGTCTGTCTGTCCAGAAAGTCCAAGCATTAACATCAAGTCCTCAAAAATGCTTTAGGAAAGATTCTAAAGGTCAGAATGAAGCAGAATCCCCACCAGCCTCCAGACAGAGGGTGGATATTTCAGGAGCCCTGAAACTCAGGCCCCAGTGCTCAGGATCAGGCCCTGATCTCCCATCCCAAAACATTGAGGGGACCCAACAGGTTGCAGAGCTCTGCAGAGGGCAGCATAGGGGGCTGCTAAGGTCACCTGAGCTGGTGGTGGGCTCCTGGAGCTGCCTGATGCACCGCTTCAACTCGGTTTTGAGGTCTAAGGTGCTCTGGTAGATGCCTTTTATCAGCTCGTGGTTCAGTTCCACCTTGGGGATGTAGACTGGCTTTGTTGAGATTCCTCGCAGTTTTGATGCTTTCTGGAATATGCCAGGGGGTTAGTGCAGGCAGCTCTGGTGATACCAGGGCCTAGGCCCAGTCCTCATGAACCCCCAGGAGGCTCTCCCCTATGCCCGTGAGTGCTAAGTTCAATTGACCTGTTCAAATTACAGGCCAGAGGTCACCAGGAGTTAAAATGCCACTTGAAGACACAGTAATCTGAAGCTGGAAGGGACCCCAGAGGTCACCCATCTTACTGATAGGGAAACTGAGGTCTAGTCATGGCAAGAAGCCTGCCAGGAACTCTGCTAGCTGGTGTCACAGACACAGCTGGGACCAAGGTCTCCTGAGCCCCCAGGATGATGCTCTTTCCACTTGTCCAGATGAGGGTGGAAAAGCACAGGAAACTCAAGACCACCCCGATCCTAGGAAAACAGCTCTAATCACACATTCTGATAACAAAGAGGGATATCTCAAGGGATGTGGAATCCAGCCAAGGAACATCTTGTGAAAAGGGAGGGTCTTCCTCGAAGTCCCAAACTTTGAGGCAAAATAGGGTTACAGCATCAAGAGGCCCAGATGTGCACCCAGATCCTTCAAGAGCTTGGGGCAGCTGCTCCAACAGGCAGGAATGAGCACTTAGGATGAAGCTTAATGCCATCCAGACTAGGCATGTGTCAGGCCTCAGTGCACAGAGAGAAGGTTCCCATTCACTCCTGCACTGTCTCCTTACCCACCCCGATCCGAAGAAGGAATCTGGGCCTTTCAGGTATAGTTGCAGGTCACTCAATCAATGGGGCACACCACTATATGCCAAGCACTCTGCTCTGTGCCAGTCAGATTGGCAGAAGGATGAAGGAGGGTGATAAGAGATGGGCTTATAGCCATAAAAAAGCACATCTGAAACATCACCCAGTGCTACTGAAGCAGCAGTATGGCATGCTTGGGAATAAAGACACGGCATGGCAATGGGATCCAAGCCCTGGAAGGACACGACTCAAGAGGCAAGAATGTCCAGCATGGCACCTCACCCACACCTACTGTGTCTGGGGAACGGTGAGTGCACAGGGCATGAGCCAGGGACGGATGATAAGAGATGAGGCTGCTGACAGAGGCAGGGCCCCTCGTGGCCCTCGGCCCAGGACCTTTCGAGCCGTGCCAAGGGACATGAGGCCAGAAACAGCAGGGGGCTCATGCTTTAGAAAGACACCTTGATACAGTCTGGATGTTCGTCCCCTCCAAATCTCATGTTGGAATGTGATCCCCAGTGTTGGAGGTGGGGCCTGGTGGGAGGTGTTTGGGTCATGGGGGCAGATCCCCCATGCATGACTTGGTGCCTGCCCCATGGTAACAGGTGAGTTCTTGCATGAGCTGGTTGTTAAAAGGAGATTGGCCCTTCCTCCTCAGTCTCTTGCTCCCTCTCTAATGCTGTGGCATGGCTGCTCCCAGCTTGCTTCACCTTCTGCCATGAGTAAAAGTTTCCTCACCAAAGGCCTCACCAAAAGCCAAACAGATGCTGGTGCCATGCTTGTAAAACCTGTAGAACTGTGAGCCAAATAAACCTCTTTTCTTTATAAATTACTCAGTCTGGCCAGGTGCAGTGGCTCACACCTATAATCTCAGCACTTTGGGAGGCCAAGGCGGGTGGATCACCTGACATCAGAAGTTTGAGACTACCCTGGCCAACATGGTGAAACCCCGTCTCTACTAACAAAAATTAGCTGGGTGTGGTGGCTCAAACCTATAAATCACAGCTACTCAGGAGGCTGAGGCAGGAGAATCACTTGAATCCGGGAGGCGGAGGTTGCAGTGAGCCAAGATCATGCCACTGCACTCCAGCCTGAGTGACAAGAGCAAAACTCCATCTCTATATAAATAAATAAATAACTCAGTCTTAGGTGCTCCTTTTGCACCTTTTGCATAGCAATCTTCCAGGGGCTGCTGGAGAAAGGATGGGAGGAAGAGGCAGATTGTGTGTGGTAGGCAACATTCTAAGATGGCCCTCAAGCCCCCCACCCCGACTGATGTACACACCCTATACAATGCCCTCCCCTTAAGCATGGGCTGTGTTGAATGAAACAGGATGTCATCACTCCTGTGATTAAGTTATGTTATATGGCAAAGGGGATGGAATATTGCAGGTGTAATTAGCATCTCAAATCAAGTGATTTTTAGTTCATCAAAAGGGGAATTATCTGGGGTGGCCCTGATTTAATCAGGTTAAAAGCCCTTAAAAGGGGTATTGCTCCAATGCAAGACACCCTCCGCCCAAAAAAAGGGATTGCATCTTTCTAGAGGAGAAATTCTCATGCTGACCTTGAAGAAGTCAGCTATCAAGCCGAGACAGCCAGCAAGAAAGAGGGGGCCTCAGTCCTACAACCATAAGGAACTAAATCCTGCCAGCAACCACATGAGCCTGGAAGACAACCCTGAGCTCCAAAAGAAACAGCCTGGCCATCCCTTGCAGACTATAGCCTGGTGAGACCCTATACAGGCCACCCATAAAGCCATGTCCAGATTTCTGAGCCAGAGAAACTCTGAGAGAATAAATATATGTTTTTTGAAGCCCCTATATTTGTGGTAATTTGTTGCCCAGCTCAGAAAACTAATACAGCATGTGTCTCAGGGATGCTTCCAGTGACCTCTTCCAGTCCCCAGCTCCTTGCGGGCCCTATCATCAATAGCAGGACATCAGGAAAAAAAAAAAAACCATTCAACAATGCCTCCTGGCAACCCACCTCCAGAAACTCGAACTCATCCCCCTTGGTCAGGCCCCGTTCAATCTCCTCCTTCAGCGTCTGGATCTCACTCTTCTTCTTGAGGAGAATCTGATAAATGCTGTCCAACTTGGTGTTGACCTTCTTCTCCTCCTCCTTTATCTTCCATGTCAAGGTGGTCTCTGAGGTGTCCAGGAGAGCCTTCATTTCCATGTATTCTTGTCGTAGCTGCTCCACCTTTTTGTTTGCAGTCAACTGAGAGGGCCAAGGTAAGAGGGTGCTTGTCAAATGGGCAAAAACGCTGAGGCTGCAGCCCCAAGCATTGGTAAGATGTGGAGTTCTGGGAACTCTTACCTGCACTTTCTGGGAGAGCAAACCACTTTGGAGAGCAACTTGGTAAAATCTAGTACCTTTGGAGGTGCTCATATGCTATGACTCAGCAACTCCAGTTTTAGTAATACATGCTACAAAAACTCACAGCCACCTGCCCCAGAGACATGCACCAGAATGTGCACAGGCAGCACTGTCTGAAGTAGCAAAAACCTGGAATCAACCTGAACGTCCACTGGTAGAAGGCTTGATGCAAAGACTGGGAACTATTCATAGGATGGAATACTAAACACTTATGAAAATTAATAAACTGGAGCTATGCATGGATGAATCCCCATGAGAGAAAAACAACTTGCAGAAGAAGACCAACCACATGATGCTCTTTCAATACAGCTTAGAAACAAGCAGAATGGTTAACATGCACAAAGAAATGCATAGGAATGAATGAATAAATTCAGGAGAATGGTTATTTCTGGAAGAGAGGAAGGGGTCAGAATAAGGGAGAAACAGGGCCAGGCACAGTGGCTCATGCCTGTAATCCCAGCATTTTGGAAAACTGAGGCTGGCAGATCACAAGGTCAAGAGATTGAGACCATCCTGGCCAACATGGTGAAACCCCATCTCTGCTAAAAATACAAAAATTAGTTGGGTGTGGTGGTGCACACTCATTGTCCCAGCTACCCAGGAGGCTGAGGCAGAATTGCTTGAACCCAGGAGGCAAAGGTTGCAGTGAGCCGAGATCACGCCATTGTGCTGCAGCCTGGGCGACAGCGCGAGACTTCGTCTCAAAAACAAAAAAAAAAATAAGGGAGAAACAGATGGGAGGGGCTGCAGCAATGATATTTTATTCCTTAAGCTAAAGGCAGTTCATGGGCAATTTTTAAAAATAAAAGTCAGGGCCGGGCGCGGTGGCTCAAGCCTGTAATCCCAGCACTTTGGGAGGCCGAGGCAGGTGGATCACAAGGTCAAGAGATCAAGACCATCCTGGTCAACATGGTGAAACCCCGTCTCCACTAAAAATACAAAAAAATTAGCTGGGCACGGTGGCGCGTGCCTATAATCCCAGCTACTCAGGAGGCTGAGGCAGGAGAATTGCCTGAACCCAGAAGGCGGAGGTTGCAGTGAGCCGAGATTGCGCCATTGCACTCCAGTCTGAGTAACAAGAGCGAAACTCCGTCTCAAAAAATAAAAATAAAAATAAATAAAAGTCAGGATGCAGCTCTGGAAAATTTCTGAGAATATCATGCTCTAGAACTATACTTCCCAATAATATAACCACTTGCTACATGTGGCTACTAACCACTTGAAATGTGGCTAGTCCAAATTGAGACTCAACATGAGTATAAAATACATACTGGCTTTCAAAAACTTTACACCAATAAAAGGCATGTAAAATATCTTACTGCTTTAAAATTGATATGTTGAAAGAATAATATTTCAGATATACCAAACTGAATAAACTGTAATATTAAAATTAATCTCAGCCAGGTGCAGTGGTTGATGCTCATAATTCCAGCATCTTAGGAGACCGAGGCAGGAAGATCACTTGAGGCCAGGAGTTCAAGACCAGCCTGGGCAACATAGTGAGATCCCTTCTCTACACAAATAAAAATAAAAAACTATTATTCCTATAATATTATTATAAAATATATAATAATAAAAATTATTATTCCTATAAAAAAATTAGTATTCCTAGCTAGTGGGAGGTGTAGGGTGGAAAGGGGGCGTAGGCTGAGTCAGGAGGATTACTTAAGCCCAAGAGTTCGAAGCTGCAGTGAGCTATGATTGTTCCACTGCACTCCAGCCTGGATAAATAAATGAAATAAACCTAATGTACTATCGAATTAATTTAAAGTTACATCTGCACTCCCACTATATTTCTGCTGGACAGCACTCCTTCAGCAGCTGCAATTTTGTTTCCCATCTTGGATGGCCTCAATAGCTGCTATGGTTTGAATGTCTCCTCCAAAGCTCATGTTGAGATTTAATTGCCATTGAGGTGATTAGGTCGTGAGGGTTCTGCCCTCATGAATGGATTCATGTTCTTCTCACAGGGGTTTGACCTTCTCTTTCCTGTCTCACTCTCCTGCCTTCCATCCTTCCGCCATGGATGATCCTCACCAGATGCCGGAAGCATGCTCTTCGACCTCTCAGCCTCTAGAACTGTGAGCCAAATAAACTTTTCTTTGCAAATACCCAGTCTGTGGAATTCTGTTATAGCTGCAGAAAATGGACTAAGACGATAGCTCAGAATCAAACATAACAAAGAAAAAAACACACGAGAAGGACAGCAGACTGGAAGAGAGGAATTCAAGTATTTCTTCACCAATCTTTTATTTATTTATTTTTTTGAGACAGAGTTTTGCTCTCATCACTCAGGCTGGAGTGCAATGGCACGATCTCGGCTCACTGCAATTTCTGCCTCCTGGGTTCAAGAGATTCTCCTGCCTCGGCCTCCCAAGTAGCTGGAACAACAGGTGTGCACCACCACACCTGGCTAATTTTTTGTATTTTTAGTAAAGATGAGGTTTCACTATGTTGGCCAGGCTGGTCTTGAACTCCTGACCTCAGGTGATTCATCCGCTTTGGCCTCCCAAAGTGCTGGGATTATAGGCGTGAGCCACCGTGCCCAGCCTTCTTTGCCAATCTTTTACTGTGCAGCATCTAATGTGACTACAAGTGTCCACAGTGCTCATTTTCCCCTTTTTCCTTTTGGTAAGAGAACATTCCTGGAGTTTCTTCTGGGCATGTGGCTACCCAGACTACGTTTCCCAGTGTCCCCTGCAGCTAGGCTAGGCAATGTGACTAGCTCCTTCCACTGACACATGACCAGGAGTGATATGTGCAACAGTGTGTCACTTGTGTAAAGGGAAATTGCTTGTTGTCCTTCACTTCCTCTTTGTCCCTTTTCTCACAGGCTAGAACAAAGGTGTAATGGTAACCCAGCTTCAACCAAAGAGGTTGGGACAATACTTTGTGGAATAGTAGGGCAATAAGAAGGGAGGACCCTTAATCCCCAAATGATCACATGAACCCCTAGTCTGGGTTACTCATGTTTGGGTTTGGACTGTCAGTTGGCAAAACAAACTTTGATCATATTTAAGCCTCTGAATTTTGATGTGCCTTGTTACAGCAGTTTAACCTGCCCTCTAGCCAATAGAGGTACTTTCATGTGCATCCTTTCATGTGTCTCACAATCATCTTCAGAAAGAAGTTGTGTCTCCATTGTGCAAATGGGAAAACGAAGGCTCAGAGATCTATCAACAAGACCAAAGTGACATAGGCTAGTATGTGACAGAGCTGGTATTCTAACCCAGACCTCATCTAATTAAACCAAAACTGCTGCAGTAAAACTGGATGCTGCAGCTCTGAAACAGGGTAAAAATCTGGTCTTTCCATTTAAAGGCAATTTAAATGTACTGGAAATCTGAAAACCAGAGGGAACAAAACCATTCCTAATTTACCACTCCGACACCTCCACTATGATCCTTCTATAATATTCCTTTTCAGTCTTTTTTTCCTATATTCTCTGTAATGGGTTAAATGCTGGGCCCCAAAAGTCATGTCTGTATACCAGAACCTGTGAATGTAATCTTACGTGGGAAAGAGGTCTTTGCAGGTGCATTTAAAGATCTTGAGATTCGATCATCCTCGATTACCTAGGTGGTCCCTGAATCCATTGACAAGGGTCCTTATTGGAGATGGAAGGCACGGAGGGAGGGAGAGACAGATATGTGAAGACAGAGGCAGAGATTGGAGGGATGCGGTCGAATACCTAAGCCACCAGAAGCTGTAAGAGGCAAGGAAGCCTTCTTCCCTAGAGACTTCGGGAGTGTGGCCATGCCAACATCTTGATTTTGGACTTCTGGCCTCCAGAACTCTGCCAGAATACACTTCAGTTGTTGTAGGCCACCAAGTTTGTGGCAATTTGTTACAATAGCCCTATGAAACTAATATACTTCCTTTTTATAAATGGGTGCAACCCTAGGAGGTATATACTTTTGCTTCCTCTTTTTCTCTCACTTTATGTTATATCCATATTTCTGAATTACTACTTTTTAACCCAAATTTATAATGATTTCCCCACAGTGTGGTTTATAGAGAATTTTCGGCTTGGGTTTGCAAAGGATGTCTCTTGGACACACAGCTGTCTGTATGCTTTGCAAGGTTGGTGTTTCATCCTGACATTGTGAGTGCACCCAACACCAGCCTTGTCATGGTCAGAGCCACGCTTGCCCTGCCTGGAGGCCGAGGGAGCCACAAGGTAGGGCTGGTATCGGGGAGCCCCGCCACTCACCCGAATATCCTGCTGCCTGGCCCTCACATCATCCAGCGCTCTCGACGCCCCATTGATCTGACTGTACATGACAGTTACTTTGTGCCTCAGGGTGGCCTGTGGGAAAAACAAATGAGGGTGAGAAGGCACCTCTTCAGCCCAGCCCCACCAGGAGTCCTGTGGAATAGATCCCTTCCTCTTCCACTCCACCAAGTCTTGCCACCTCAAGTTCTTCACCCAAGTCCTGCCTGCTTGGAGCTTTTTGAGCCATTCTAATACTACCTCCCTTTATCCTTTTCAGAGGACAGTACAGACAGAGGTTCCAGTCCCAATTCCCAGCTGTGCAACTGTGTCCTTCACCTCAGTTTTCTTGGATACAAAATAGAAACAACTGTCCCCAGCTCATAGGGTTATTGGGAGGATTAATTGAAACAATGTAAGTACTCAGCCCAATGCCTGGATCTTAGGGAAAAATTGCTAAATGTCAGCTTCAGCTTATATTATTATGTTTCTTCTCTACCCATTTCACAGCCAACGAAACTCAGGCAAGGAGGACAGCAAGGTGGCCAAGCTCACACAGGAGCAGAATGAGCAGGGACAGCTGCTTCGGCAATGGCAGGTGGGGCTACTCAGACCAACCCTCCCCCTGCAAACAGCCAGGAAAGCAGTCCAAATAATGGGGCAGGGAGGGGATCTGCTAAAAGACGCTGGAGTCAATCAAGCAGAGGATTAGGAAGCCAAGGCCTAGGAGAAGAGGGAAGAGAGTCCAGAGAAATGAGGCTGATATCTAGAATGTTCTCTCCAGAGGCATCTGCCAATCCCAGAACAAACTTGGGAGCCTTTGTCAGCCTCACCGGGCAGGGAGACAGAAATCAGAGTCCAAGGCTCACTGCAGGCTGGGACCAGCAAGGACTGGGAATAAGACGAAGCAGCCAGCCAGGTGCAGTGGCTCATGCCTGTAATCCTAGCACTTTAGGAGGCCCAGGTGGGTGGATGATTTCGGCTTAGAAGTTCAAGACCAGCTTGGGCAACATGGCAAAACACTGTCTCTACTAAAAATACAAAAATGTGCCAGGCGTGGTGGTGCACACCTGTAGTACCATCCACTTAGGGGGCTGAGGCAGGAGGATCACTTGAACCTGGGAGGTTGAGGCTGCATTGGCATCACTCATTCCAGCCTGGGTGACGAAGTGAAACCCTGTCTCAAAAAAAAAAAAAAAAATGAAGCAGCTCACAGGAGCAGAAGCCCAGCTGCAAATCTGCCCAGTCCGTGAAATTAAGCTAATTCAGAATTGTTACACCCTAGCCACCTCCAGAAACAAAGACATATTGTATATGAAGGAAGCTAATATCATCCTCATCTGATTTCTATTCATTTTCATCATCAATATCTGAGTTTCCTACCTTCCTGCTAGATGAAATACTGGGCACAGAAATGGGAAAGAAAATCACCACAACCACCATAATAACAGCAACTAGTATTTATTATGCACTTACTGTATGCCAGACACTGTTCTAGTGCTTTACATATATTAACTTACCTAAAGCTAGGAACAACACTATGAGGTAGGAATTATCCAACCTTAACAGACAAGGACACTAAGGGCCGCAGCAATTAAGGCACTTGCCCCAGCTACACTACTAGTAACTGGCGCAGCTTAGATCCTGGTATTAAAATCATAGACACATGCCCAAACTGAGCATGCCGGAGATTTCTAGAAGAAACCATGTCCTTTCCCTAACTAGCAGGCACAACACACTCTGGCCCTCTCTTCCACTTTCCAGACTCTTCAACTCCACCCAAGATATTCTGGGCAGAACCCGATTTTGAATCTGGATGTGAATAACCCAGTGACAGTCACATGTAGGCGTTGGAGGCAGGGAGCAAGGTCACACTAACTCAACCCGAAAAGCCCATGTTGCTCATGATGTTTCAAACTTGACCTCTGTGACATTGCCCTTCGACCTGGCCTCTAACAGTGGCCAAGATAAAGTGTGGGCCAAAGACCAGGCTTACATACATCTGGCCCTGTGGGCCTCAGAGCAGGAAGAGACCTCAGAACACCCCAAGGCTGCCAACTTCCTCACTTCCAAGAGCTGCTCAAAGCACTGCTCCCTAAGCCCTATATTTTGAAAGATTTTATGCCCCATTAATCAAACACACGCGGCAGTGCCCTCATCACAAATGGTACCCCCACGACTCCAGATCAAAGGAAAGTGGCCCCAAAACTTTGGTAGCAGCAATAATCCCCTAATCGAAGGTAAAGGACTTTTTGAAATTCTGAGGATCCCTTCACAGACTGGAGACTTGGGTCTTCCACACAGGAGGCACCAGAGTGTCAAGTCCACCCACACCAGTGGCCAAGGCAACCTAGCCCCCAAGGCCAAGGGCATTGCCCAGCTGAGACTGGCTCTGCCAACAGTGATAAGCAGCAGTAGCAGGGCTCAAAAAGCAGACCTGTTAGAGGGCTCAACAAGTCAGGACAGCGGCGGGCAGGCACTGAGAGAGGAAGGCCTATTGCAAGGATTAAACAGCAGAGTTTAGGCCAGGCTCCTGGCTCACGCCTGTAATCCCAGCACTTTGCGGGGCTGAGGTGGGAGGACCCCTTGAGGCCAGGAGTTGAAGACCAGCCTGGACAAGATAGTGAGATCCCATCTCTACAAAAAATGCTTTAAAATATTAGCTGGGTGTGATGGTACAGGCTTGTAGTCCTAGCTGCTCAGGAGGCTGATGCAGAAGGATCCCCTGAGAACAGGGTTTAAGGTTATAGTGAGCTATGATCATGCCACTGTACTTCAGTCTGGGTGGCAGAGTGAAAACCTGTCTCTAAAAGAACAGATTAAAAAAAATAAATCTGAGTTTATAGCCAGGCGTGGTGGCACAACTGTAGTCCCAGCTACTTGGGAGATTGAGATGGGAGGAGCATTGAGGCCAGTAGTTCAAGACCAGCCTGGGCAACATACTGAGATCCTGTCTTTATGAAAGAATTTTTTAAAAACTTAGCCAGGTGTGGTGGCTCATATTTGTAGTACTATCAACTCAGGAGGCTAAGGCGGGAGGATCACCTGAGCCCAGGAGTTTGAGGTTACAGCAAGCTATGATCACCTCACTGTACTCCAGCCTGGGTGACAGAGTAAGATCCTGTCTCTAAAAGAAGAAAAAAAAGCCAAGTTTACAGCCAGGTGTGGTGGCACAACTGTAGTCCCAGCTACTCAAGAGGCTGAGATGGGAGGATCCCTTGAGGCCAGAAGTTCAAGAACAGCCTAGGCAACACAGCAAGACCCTGTCTCTAAAAGAAAAAAAAAGCCAAGCTTATATGCTACACAAAGCTGGACGCAGACCCCCAACTCTGACCTTGCTCAGGCTACTGTCTCCTTTGACAACACGAAGACTGGTCTTGTTCTCCCTGAAGGTGCTGTGAGAATGAAATGAAATCAGGCCATGCTTTGGGTCTTAGACTGACATAACAAAAGGTGGTTTGATTTCAGCCTCTGCTTTGCATCCACAAGGTGAAGGTATGATCCCCAAACCTCCTAAAAACATTGCAGATCTAAAAGACCCTCAGGAATTCAGCTAGTCCCACTGGCTTACCATACTGGTGAGGACCCAGGTCCAGTGGCCAAACCCTGTGCCCAAAGTCACATGGCCAGGACAGAGGACACTATGGTGCAAGAGTGTTGGCTCTCCCTGTGGCTTTGATCCAGTTGACTACAGGGATGCTGCCCACCCTTCCTCTCAGTCCTCTAATAACAACGCTCCCTGATCACAGGAATCCGGCCCACCAAAGGCTTTTGCTTACATGACTTCAAGCTTCTGGGACTGTTTGGTGCTCTGAACTCTATGGACCTGGATACGAGGCTGGTTCATGAGGAGAACCTGCAGCCTATGAAATCAAACCAACCTGGGGGCAATGCCTGCGTGGCCATTTACTGCATTAGGTCAGGCTAAGTTCATTTCTCTGGACCTCAGTATCCTCAACTGTAAAATGAAACTAATCGTATCCGCCTTCTGGGTGCCACCAGGATTTAGTGAGGGAACAGAGGTAACCTCCAAGGTTCATAATTGACATTCAAAACCCTCTACTAAACACCATCAGATAGTGGGGTGCAGTGGCACGCGCCTTTAATCCTAGCACTTTAGAAGGCCCAGGTGGGCAGATCGGTTGAGCTCAGGAATTTGAGATCAGCCTGGGCCACATGGTGAAACCCCATCTCTACAAAATAGTACAAAAATTTGGGAGCCTGTGGTCTCAACTACTTGGGATGCTGTGGTCCCAGCTACTCTTGAGGCTGAGGTAGGATGATCCTTTAAACCCGGGAAGTCAAGGCTGCAGTAAGCTGTGATTCTGCCACTGCACTCCAGTCTGGGTGAGAGGAGCAAGACCCTGTCTCAAAAAGAATAAAATAAATAAACACCATCAGACAATGACAGGACGGTGGCCAGTAACCTAACCTGTCTTCATGGATGTTGGGAGGGGACTATATAATCTCCCAGCCCTTTTCTACTCCTCGAATTCAGGCCCATCTCCCCAGGATATATCCAGAGTGTGGCAGGGATGTCCGTGATGGGGCCTCTCTGCACGACCCGGCAGGCCCAGGCTGCCCTCTGCGCCCTCCCGGGCCGTTTCCTACCTCCAGGTCGGCGCTGGCCTGGCTGAGGGACGCGGGAGAGCAGGCCTTATGTTCCACCAGGCAGATGTGGCAGATGCACTCGCTGTGCTCAGGGCAGAAAAATTCCCTCAGCCGGTTGTGCTGGGGACATTTGCGGTGCAGCAGGTCGCGAATGGGCGACTGCAGCGGGTGGTCCTGGAAGGTGGGGCTCTCGAAGTGCGGCTGCAGATGCTTCTGGCAGAAGGAGGCCATGCACACCAGGCACGTCTTCACGGCGGCCTCCTTCAGGCAGTGGTCGCAGGCCACCTGGGTGCCCGGGCTCGGTGCGGAGGCGCGGGCGGGCGGCGTCCAGCCGTCGGCGGCGGGTTGCTCCCGGGCCAGGTCGGCCAGCAGGAACTGTTCCACCACGTTGCACAGCACCGTGTTCTTGTGCAGCTGCGGTCGCGCGTGGTAGCTGGCGCGGCACTGCGGACACAGGTACGGCGAGCCCTGGACTGCCCACGTCTCGTTCAGGCACGACCCGCAGAAGTTGTGGCCACACGGAGTGGTGACCGGCTCCTTGAAGGGCTCCAGGCAGATGGAGCACGACAGCTCCTCGGCGAGGGGACACAGCTCCGCCATGGCGCTCCAAGGGGTCGGGACGCGACTGCTGCACCCGCGCTCCGAGGGAGGCCGCCGAGGAAACGAAACCGAACCCAGGAGGGGCAGTCCCTGCGGCCGCCAGGAAGTCACGTGTGGCGCGGGGAGGGGGCGGGCGCCAGGACGGGGCGGGCCGCGCGAGGTACCCCCGGGAGCCTGCGGGCGCCGCACTTCTAGTCGCCGGGAGCTGGCGAAGGCCGGCCGCGCTCCGAGCCCTGGAGGCTCCCGCGGGCGGGGCCAAGGAAGCCGGGCGCGGCCTTAGTCCGCAGGTTTAGAGCATCCTCGCGACCACTCGGAGGCTTCTGGGAGCCACTCTGCGGATGAGGAAGTCGACGCCTGGGTGCAGAACCCTGGACCCGCGGATTCAGAGCCCAGGGCCGGCCGGGCTTCCGCACAAACTTGCGCCCGGAGCAAGTCCCCTCCTTCCCAGCAGCACTCATCTGAGACCAGAGGTGTCCCCGCCGTCCCCGTGAGCAGCGCTGGTCATACTCTGGGGCAAACTTTAAAAACAACAACAACAACAAAACGTGTAGGAACTGTTAAACCACACGGCTTTTTCTTTTCTCTTTTCTTAATCCTTCCTCTTCCCTCGTCCCTGACTCGGACACGTGGACATTCAATCCGGGAAGACTGGTGCCCATAGTCACACACTCAGACATAAACCTGGTGATTTCTTTCCATTCTACCGATAGGTCATACTTTTAAAAAAATTCCTATTTCTACTTTCCTGGGATTTGGAGTTATCCAAGTTACCCAGTTTAACAAAGGCGTTCTCTCTTCTCCCTCTCTCAATCTCCCTCTCTCTCTCATTAGAACTTAAATATTTTTCTCAAAGTTGATTTAAACTTATTTCCTTTAATATTTTCTTTTGCTCTGTTTTCCCTCTGGCTTGGCTGCAGTACCTATGGGTGGACAAGAGAGTAGAAGTGTTCAGAAGAGCCGGGTCAATGGAGCAGGGTTTGGAAGGAGTTGGTCTTTTGGAAGGAGTTAATTGGAGTTTGCTTTGGGGACAGAGTGGGTAGCAAAAATGAGAAAAAGGTAAATGTGTTAGATTACTTTGAAATAGCTACTATTTATGGGGTAGCTAGATAAGTCACATGGTTATCTCTTATAATCCTTATAAACTCTGCAAGACAGCCAGTCCATTTTAGGAATGAGAGTCTCAATTTATACGAAGCAGGACTGGGATTCTAGCTCAGGATCCCTAACCTCCACATTGTCACTCACTCCTAGTTCCCCTAATTCTTGTCCTGCAGCCTCCTTTTCCCTTACAGCCTTTTACCATTTACCCTTCCTTTCTTCCTCCCTCCCTCCTTCCCTCTTTCTCTTTGTATCTCTTTTTGAGACAAGGTCTTGCTCTGTTGCCTAGGGTGTGGCACTATCATAGCTCATTGCAGCCTTGACCTCCTGGGCTCAAGTGATCCTCCCACTTCAGCCTCCCAAGTAGCTAGGACTACAGGCACATACCACCACACCCAGGTAATTAAAAAAATTTTTTTTGTAGAGACAAGATCCCTCTATGTTGCCTGGGCTGATTTTGAACTGCTGGCCTCAACCAATCCTCCCACCTCAGCCTCCCAAAATGCCAAAATTATAGGCGTGAGCCACCATGCGCCTGGCCCACATCTTGTTCTCACAGAGAGGGGAAGACAGAAGCATGAAGGGATAGGAAATGAAAGCTTATGCATAGTATCTCATTTCACACAAAAAAATACATGTTGCAGATGAGGAAACTGAGACTTAGAGAAACTACACATAGCTTACCTAAGAATGGACATTGGCACACAGCCTATCTGCTTTCAGAAGCCAAGAGTTTCCTACCATAAAATGCCACCTCCTAAGGGAGGAGTGGAGCAGTTTCCAGGAAATAAACACTATGAAATCCCCTCTGACCTATTTATCATGGGTGAGGTGGCCTGGTGATTCATGCCAGAATGTGTAATTCACTTTCCAGGCTGTTTGGTTTAGAAGGGCTTATTGGACAACTGAGGATGAATAGGAGGGCCATACTTTATGTTTACCAAATTTCATGCAGTAGATGTACACTAGGACCTACTATGCAACAGGCATGCAACAGACTGAATGCTAAACGAGTAAAATGTGAGTCAAACATGGGCCTGCCTTCTAAAACAAGAAGAAGACAAGAGCATAAAGCAGTAAAGAGGAATATGGGGAGAGATCAGGTCCTGCTAGGGGTATGGATCCCTCATCTGGATGGTAAGGATCCCAGTAATACCTTCTTCATGGGATGCTGTGGAATAAAAATTAAACAAGTGAGCTGGCAACGGTGGCTCACATCTGTAATCCCAGCACTTTGGGAGAATGAGGTAGGTGGATCACTTGAGGTCAAGAGTTCAAGACCAGCCTGGTCAACATGGTGAAAACTCTATCTCTACTAAAAATACAAAAATTAGCCAGGCATGGTGGCAGGCACCTGTAATCCCAGCTACTTGGGAGGCTGAGGCAGGAAGGCGGGAGAATCACTTGAACCCAGGAGGTGGAGGTTCTAGTGAGTAGAGATTGTGGCGCTGCACTCCAGACTGAGCAACAGAGCAAGACTCCACCAAAATTAAAAAAAAAAAGGAAAGAAAAAAGAAACAAACGTAAATCACAATGATTTTATTTTATTTTGAGATGGAATATTGCTCTGTCTTGCCCAGGCTGGAGTACAGTGGCACACTGCAACCTCCACCTCCTGGGTTCAAGTGATTCTCCTGCCTCAACATCCCATCTAGCTGGGATTACTGGCGTGCACCACCATGCCCGGCTAATTTTGTGTATTTTTAGGAAAGATGGGGTTTCATCATGTTGGCCAGGCTGGGCTTGAACTCCTGACCTCAGAATTCACCTACCTCTGCCTCCCAAAGTGCTGGGATTACAGGCATGAGCCACCATGCCCGATCTTATTTTTTTTGTGTTTTGTTTTGTTTTTGAGACGGAGTTTCCCTCTTGTTATCCAGGCTGGAGTGCAAAGGCAGGATCTCGGCTCACCGCAACCTCTGCCTCCTGGGTTCAGGCAATTCTCCTGCCTCAGCCTCCTGAGTAGCTGGGATTACAGGCACGCACCACCATGCCCAGCTAATTTTTTGTATTTTGAGTAGAGACGGGGTTTCACCCTGTTGACCATGATGGTCTCGATCTCTTGACCTCGTGATCCACCCGCCTCGGCCTCCCAAAGTGCTGGGATTACAAGCATAAGCCACCGCGCCCGGCCCTTTGTTTTGTTTTTAAACACACATACATGACAGTAATTTTGGGGCAGGATTGGGGCATCATGAATGTTAATAATAATGGGCTTATGGAGGTCCAAGGACTGTCTCCAGGGCTGGAGGGTGGGTAGAAAAACCACAGTAGGAAAATGTTGTCAAGTCAAATATGACCCAGCTAGTCAAAAGGGAGCTATATGGCCTAATCCAGAAGATGGCGAGCTATCTTAATTAGATTCTCACTCTATCTGTAGGCTGGGAAAATTCGGTGGAGTAATGACCTTTGTTTGTCTGCAGATATAATCTGCCAATTATATCTACCAATGACATTTCATAGAATTTAAGATCAGAGGCTGGTGTGGTTGCTCACACGTGTAATCTCAGCACTTTGGGAGGCCAGGGCAGGTGGATCACCTGAGATCAGGAGTTTGAGATCAGTCTGGGCAACATGGTAAGATTCAAATTAGCTGGGCATGGTGGGAGGCACCTGTAAGTCACAGCTACTTTTGGGTGGCTGAGGCTGAAGAATTGCTTGAACCTGGGAGTGGGAGGTTGCTGTGAGCCAAGATTGCACTCCAGCCTGGGCAACAAGAGCGAAACTCCATCTAAAAAAAAAAAAAAAAAGCAATTTAAGGTCAGATTGTGGGTGTGGTTCTACCAGTGTTCCAGTCCTCAACCCCTTTTGAAGGATATCTGTTCTTTTTCTCATTTGAAAGATGACTAGGGAAGTCTAAATGACCTGCAATCATACGAACGGCTAGAGTCCCAGGATCATCATTCCTGAGGTATGGAAAAGACTACAGTGCCCATGTCTCCCACACCATGAAATTTTAAAACAAGCAAGCAAACAAACAAAAATCTATTCTTAAGCATAAAATAAGTGTAAAGACGTCTAACTAGGTTTCTATCTTTTCCATAATAACTATGATCATTTTGTTGTTCAGGTACTATTTATTTTATCAATACTTTTCTAAACAACACTGATCATAGTTTTTTTCTTCTTGATTTGGCCAATATGGTGAATTATACAAATGAAACATCAAACCAACCATGTATTCCTGAAATAAAACCCCTCAGTCATGATGTATTGTTGTTTTATAAATTGCTGGATTTGATTCGTTGGTATTTTGTTAGGGGTGTTTGCATCTGTGTGTGTGAGGGATGGTGGTCTAAAATTTTCTTGTAGTATCTTTGTCAGGATTTGCTATCAGGGTCATGCTGTCTTCAAAATGAATTGAGAAGTGTTCTTTTTTTCTTTATTTTCTAAATAAGCTTGTGTAAAATTGGTATTCTTTCTTTCTTAAATGTTTGATAGAATTCATGGATTCTGAACCTCTTGAACTCGTCTTCTTTGTCTTTTTGCTCTGCCTTCTAGGAAATTTCCTTAACTTTCTCTTCTATTAAAGTTGTCCCAGCTGGATGTGGTGGCTTACACCTGTAATCCCAACACTTTGGGAGGCTGAGGCAGGTGGATCACAAGGTCAAGAGATCAAGACTATCCTGGCCAACATGGTAAAACCCTGTCTCTACCAAAAATACAAAAATTAGCTGGGTGTGGTGGCAGGCACCTGTAGTCCCAACTACTCGGGAGGCTGAGGCAGGAGAATTGCTTGAACCCAGAGGCAGAGGTTGCAGTGAGGCAAGATCACACCACTGCATTCCAGCCTGGGCGACAGAGGGAGACTCCATCTCAAAAAAAAAAAAAAAAAAGCTAACATTCCAAGTGTGTGTGTGTGTGTGTGTGTGTGTGTGTGCATATGTGTGTTCGTATTTCAAAGGCCTTCATGTTTGTGTTTTTGTTTTTCTCCTAGGACCTTGTCTATTTTGTGAACAAAAGTTTTTTCTTCTAAGTTAACTGAATTCTTCATTTACTTCTGCTGTCTCTCCTTTCTCTTGCATCAGCTGCTACATGGGGGACCTAAAA